CTACATGTTCTCTCTTGGGTTTGGGGCGGCTGCCACAGGTCCAGAGAATATTCTGTGCCCAGGCGGGAAGGAACGGAGGAGGACTGTGGCAGGATGGTCTTTCTCCTTTTATCAGAAAGCAAAAGCTTTTCCAGACTGTGAGGACCGTCAGGCAAGCAGAGAACAAGTCTGCCCTGTTGGCTGCCTAAGCATGAGCCATTGCCCAGGGGTTAACGTATTGTCATCCTGAGCAAAATCAGGGTTTGTCAGCAAGGGAGAAGGGAGGATGGTTGTTGGGTTAATAACTAATGGTATCTGCCACAGATCCCTACTGGGAATTTGAGTTTTCTAGATGTTGCCCTTACCATAAACCTACTAGTGATTCTGCTGCAGCAATTTTCTCCGAGGAGTTTCTCTAAGGGCCTTTAGGAGAGATGCCACAAGGCAAAAATTTCAGACAGAGCCTATCAAGCAGCTCCTTCCCATTTTTAGATCCTTGGAGGTAAACAGCTGATGACTCTAGCTGAAGTCTTGCTATGTAATTGCTATTTTCTTTCTTTCTATACTTGTTTTCCACTTTGCAGCTATGAGCATTAAGTTGAAAGGATGGAAAAAGCACACTGCATTGACAATAGCACCATCTTCTGTCCAGAGAAACATCAACTCTAAACAGATCTTAGTTTTTGGTTATGCAACCACTCGTGCATTCCGGAACATGAATGCATGCGGCATGCACACATTTAAGAAGAACCTTTTCAGTGGATTTTGAGCCCTTTGTAGCTATTTCAGGTCAACATTCTCATCATTCATTATTTAGTCCTATACCATGGTGTCCTTGCCTAGTGCTTCCCTGGTGACACTGTAAAAGACCAAGTTAAGCGCCTGCGGTGTGCCTTGACAACCATGAACTGCAAGTTCATGCAAACACACCTCAGGGAAGGGGACCTTTGAGAGAACATTTAACTGGATCACTTTCCGTAACTCATGCTTTCTCTTTCCCATTCACTCTTGCTCTCCATTACCCTTACTAAGAGGGAAGCAGGATCCATCTCAAGTTGGGAAAGTGAGGAGAGTCAGAATTAAGATTCACAGGTGCGTGGGAACAATCACATCTATAGGTGCACCACTTCAGATCAGAAGGGAATCAGGGACCGCCATCTTTAGACATCTCATGGAAAGATTTAAAACATAAGGCATAGACAACTAACACCCATACATATAAAGTTTGTTGGAACCAGTGTCATCAGAGCCCAAGAATTTAGCTGTGGGAGCCAGAGGGAGAGGAGGAAGCTCTGGCCAGAAAAGGACTCCTCTGAGACCACTGCCGGACACTCACATCCATGACAACAAAAGCATGGTCACTGCTTCTTTCTTCTCTTTAATTTTTATCTATCTATTTATTTATTTTTGAGACAGAATCTCACCCTGTTTCCTAGGCTGGAGTGCAGTGGCACCACCATAGCTCATTGCAGCCTCGAACGAACTCCTGGGCTCAAGCAATCCTCCTGCTTCAGCCTCTTGAGTGGCTGGGACTATGGGTGTGTGCCACAACGCCCAGCTAATTTTTCTGATTTATTTATTTGCAGAGGCAGGGTCTCACCCACGCTGGTCTTGAACTCGTGGCCTCAAGCGATCCTCCCACCTCAGCCTCCCAAATGCCTAGAATTACAGGTATGAGCTACCATACCCAGCCCCCTCTTTCTTAAAACCGTACATATTTGTCAACTCAGGAAACGGAAGATGCGGCAGACTCTGGGTGTTAAGGATCCATCTGCTGGAGTAAAGTAGCTAAACTGTACTACTTTAAGCAAAGGGAAAACTCTGACACTTGTCCATACTGCTGGCACCTGTTTTTGATGATAAAATAACAGCTAGTCACAACTCTAATTTGTCTATGGATGAAGCAGGAAAATTGCAAGGAGATGTGAAGGAAGAAAACTATTCTAAACTCTATTCACATATCACTTCCATTGCAACTATTTATCTCAGTGAAGACGAGGAGGGCAGCTAGCTGTTCTCACACTGGGTCTCTATCAAAGCAGCGTGCTGTTTCATGTTGAGCCAGCCCACAAGGACTTTGGGCTGCAAATGCTCGTGTTTGAAGGGTAATCATGTCACTAGAAATTTTCCAGCTAATCAACTTAGAATATATAAAATATCGAATTTTTATTCATACAGTTTCAAGTACTTATTGAGTAACTATCACGCTTCTGGTACTATGTTTGGTATTTAGGATGTAAAATGAATTAAAGCACAGTCCCAATTCTTTAGGAGTTCATAAACTGCTGCAGAAAATACATATTTATCCATTCATACAATAATCATTTACTGAGTGCCAACTGTGTGCTAGACACTGGGAGATTCTATAGGAAGTAAACTGGACACAGCAATTGTGTATTTTTCTTTCTTGATGTTTTGGAGGTAATACAGCAGTAACAGCAGAGTGCATAGCCTTTGAGTCAGACAGCTCTGCTGCTTTTTTACCATGTTTTCTGTTTTTTTGTTTTTGGTTTGTTTTTTAGAAACAGGGTCTCACTCTGTCACTGGAGTGTGGAGTGCAGAGGCACACTCATAGCTCACTGTAACCTTGAACTCTGGGCTCAAGTGATCCTCCCAAGTAGCTGGGACTATAGGCATGCACCACGATGCCCAGCTAATTTTTAAAATTTCTTGTAGAGACAAGGTCTTGCTATGTTGCCCAGGCTGGTCTCAAACTCCTGGCCTCAAGTGATTGTCCCGCCTCAGCCTCCCAAAGTGCTGGGATTACAGGTGTGAGCCACTGTGCCTGGCATCATGCCTTTTTACCAGGGCAAGTTATTTAATCTCTTCCATCTTCAGTTTCCTTATCTGTGAAATGGGAAAAGTAATAGCACTTCTTTTCTGAGTTGTTTTGAGAATAAAAATGCAACAATATATATAGAGATATTACTATGTCTGGTTTTCCATAAGTGTGACGAGTAACTATTAGCCATAATTGTTCCCACAATTAAAAGTAAGTTATGACTAGGAGCATTGGGAATAGCTTCTTAGAGAGATGCCTTGTAATTAGGGTCTTCATGGATGAGTAGGAGACAGCTGTTCACTCAATAGAATTTCCCGAGTGTGATATAGTTAGAGGTGCAGGTCCTGGTAGTAGTGTAATAACAGCCATAACCCCATACCCCTGCCCACCCCTCAAATTGCTAAGGGGGAGGGAAAGGGCGGAGTGAGGGGAAGGAGAGGGCAGAGAAGTCACCTGCAATTACAGGGTGACAATTGCTGTGTTGGTGATATGTCAGGATGTTTTTGGAATTTAGAAGAGGGTCATCTAACTTAAATAGGGTGTTGGTGGCGGGAGAGAGGTATTAAGAAGTGACTTTCTGGAGAGGTGACATTTGAACTGTGTCTTGAAAAGAAAAAACTAGGCAGGTGGAGAAGGGGTAAGGGCTTTCCAGAAGAGGGAAGGGCTTTCGTAAAGATAAAAGTGAGAGCACACAACATGTTTTAGGGACTTCAGAATTAAGGTGTATATGGGGCTTGTCAGGAGGGAGAAGTAGGCAGGGGCCCCATCATGAGGCATCCTGGGGGGCATGCTAGGAAATTCAAACATTATTCTGATGGCCATGGATAGCTGATGGTTTGATTTTAAGAAGATCATCCTGGGAGCAATATGGAGTACATACTGCATGAGCCAGGTAGGAGTGATTGCGACTGCCTACCAGATGTCTCCATTTGAGTATCGGTCAGGGCATCACTCTCAGTCTTCACTTGTACAAATCTAACTGCATCATCCTCATTCCCTCCATCCCTTCCTCTGCTATCATTCCTCCCCACCAATGCACTTCTTCCCAGAAACTCCCTATTTAGTGCAATGGCCATCATTCCCAAATTGCCTAAATCAAAAGCCTGGGAGCCAAGATCCTTACCACTCCCATCCTTGATTCCCCCCTAGAATCACTCCTCAAATCTATCCATGCAACTTTCCAGTTCTCTCTCTTAGTGGCCCCTCCTCTCTGTGTCCCACCAATACCTCAGTTTTAGACCTTCCTCATTTTCTTACTAGGACAATACCAATCAGATAACAAATTTAAGTCAGATAACCTTAGATTTAAATATCTACAAATTATATAAAAATAACTTTAAGTTTAAATAACTAATTTTTATCTTACCCGTTGTGTTTATTATATTTCAAGCTCTTTGAAGGTGGGATTGTGTCTTCTCCACTAAGGGACAGATCTTGGTGGTTAGAAGGCAAAGGAAACCAATGTCACTGATTCAGTTTGTCTGAGATTGAGCCAGGAACCAAACCAGCACCGTGCATGCAGAGGTGAGGTTTTCTGTTTCCATATTTAGTCGTACATGCTGTCAGAAATACAGAAAATAGAGAGACACGCGCTATTTTTGAGTTTGCACGTGGGAACAGATGCATTGTGTTAAGTTTTGATCCTACAGTCAGCCTGGGCATTCAGCTGTGAGGGCTGGTAGTGTGTTTTCAGCCGTATCCTATCACACTGCCGTAGTATTATACTTCTCACCTCTGGCCTTGCCTCTAAACATTCTTGCGTTTTCATTATTAATTTTTAATGCAGATGTCCAGAATCTATTTTAGACCTACTGTGTCAGTCTCTTTGTGAGTGGTGCCCAGCATACACCTTTTTGAAAATAAGCTCCTAGGTGGCTGTAATGTGCACCTTCTTTGTGAACTTCTGGTCCATGCTCACAGACAGGCCCATCTCCACTAGGGAATCTCGGTGGAGCTGGTGTAGACACTGCATTAACGTTTAACAAGAGCCTCCTTTCTTCCTAAAAATAGTAAGGGGCAAGGGCCGGGCAGACCAGGTAGGTTCCAGGCAGAGCTGGTGGGAGGAGTCCGCGACGGGCTAAGGGAACCCAGCCGGCCCCAAGGCCCCTCCCTGCGGACGCGCGCCCGTCCGGCAGGTGCACGAGCACGCACGCCCGGCCCGGCCCGGCCTGTACGCACGTGCTCGCGCACGCCGGCGCCTCCATGTGGGAGCTCGGTGGCGGCGGTGCGCGTGTGTCAGATGGAGTGGGTGCTGGCGGAGGCGCTGCTCTCGCAGAGCCATGACCCCCGGGTCCTGCTGGGGGCCTTATGCCGCGGGAAGGCGTCCGTGGAGCGCGTGGAGACGCTGTGCTTCTTTCTGCAGCGGCTGGAGGACGCGGCTGCGCGCGGCGGCGGGGGCGCAGGCGCGCTCCCAGAGGCGGCGCGCGAGGTCGCCGCGGGGTACCTCGTGCCGCTGCTGCGGGGTCTGCGCGGGTGCCCCGCGGGCGGGCCGGACCTCGGGCTGCCGCCGCGCCTCCGCCGGCGCGTGCTGAGGGCGGCAGGCGCGGCCCTGCGCTCGTGCGCCCGCCTGGCCGGGGGCCCGCAGCTGGCGGCCTCGCTGGCCGAGGAGGCGCTGCGTGACCTGCTCTCCGCGGGGCGCGCGCCGGGCGCTGAGGCGGCCGTGGAGGTGCTGGCGGCCGTCGGGCCCTGCCTGCGGCCCCGCGAGGACGCGCCGCTGCTCGAGCGGGTGGCGCGGGCCGCCGTCGCCCTAGTGCTGGGCGGGGACGGGGATGAAGCTGGGCCCGCCGAGGACGCGGTGGCGCTGGTGGCTGGACGGCTGCTGCCCGCGCTGGGCCAGTGCGGCGGGGCGGCGCTGCGGGCCGTGTGGGGTGGGCTGGCCGCGCCGGGGGCACCCTCGGCGCCAGGCCGCATCGGGCTGAAGCTGCTGGTTCTGAGCGCCCTGGCGGAGAAGCTGCTGCCCGAACCCGGCGCGGACCGCGCCCCCCGCGCGCACGAGTCGGGCCCCGACGCCCGGCGCTGCTGGCGCTTCTGGAGGACGGTGCAGGCGGGGCTGGGCCAGGCTGAGGACGCCCTGACGCGCAAGCGAGCCCGCTACCTGCTGCAGAGGGCGGTGGAGGTGTCGGCGGAGCTGGGGTCCGACTGCACCTGCGGCCCCCAGGAAGGAAACGGTACTTGCCTCTTTGCTCCCCAGCCCAAACCTACGTGGCTTCCTGGGAGGGGAGCCCTCCTGCTTCCAAAAACCAGGTCGTGTCTGCGGTCCACACAGAATTTGGTTTTTCCCAGGGCCCCCCCCCCCAATCCTGAAAACCTTGGGAATCTCCTCTTAAGTGTGTTCTCTGAAGTGACACAAATCACTGCATTTGGAAACAGTCTGACCCGAGCAGGGTAGAATACAGCACCCGTGAAATAATTTAGGAAAGTGACTGAGCCCATGCAGGATGTTACAGACCCAAATTTGCACTATATTGTGGTAGATCCTTTCTAATAGGAAGGGTTGATGTCCATCCGACTGAAAGAAAAATTATCTGTACCGATCAATGAATTGAGTGTTGAGTATTAGAATTAGGCATCATAAAAGCCTTCACATTCTTTTGAAATTTCCTTTGGTAATTGTTTTAGGAGCAAGATTTACTAATGAGTCAGTTTTGTTTTTTAACATTTTGAGCTGTGCTTTCTACTACTTTGTTATAGAACAATAGTAGATGAAATAGCCAGAGCTTCCTTTCAGTTTGGTATGTTACTGATTATTTTGTCTTGTCATCTTAAATTCACTCTTCCACTCTAGAAGTCCAAAATAGATTAACTCGAAATTGTCTCAATAGAATATTTGTATTTTTTCAACTGTAACTGGCTGTGCATTTATTATAGGTAAAAGATTTTTCTTTGGCTGAAGTTGTGAGATTAGATTTTCATGTAATTTTAACACATTAGATAGTACATATTTGAAGAGTCCACAAATGGGTGATCCTTCCATGAGAGTTTTCACTGGAAAACATTAAATTGCCAAAGTTAAATACTCATTTATTTTAACGAGTCAGTCTTCAGTTTTAGGGACAAACAATAAATAGTCTTTACATACCTGCCCTCATTTTCTCCATTTCAGAAAGCAAGCACTGTTAACCTCTTTTAACTGACTATTTTGGTATTTACCATTATGTCTTAATATATCTTAGTCATATTATAAAATTGTCACAGTTAAAAGTTTGGTTAAATGGGTGTGTTTAGCATTTATACAATTATGACACCGTAAATGCAGTTCACAGATGATCTATGTAGTAAACTATTTTTCCCTTCCCACAAATTTTTCCTTATAATTATTGTTTGGTTCTGCCTGTACTAATCACAAATTCAGCCCTACATTCTTAGCCAGTTGTCTGAACCTTTCCTCTACAAAATCAGATCACGAGGTGTTTTATAAGTTTTCCTGAAGAAGAAATTTCTCCTAGAGTCCCTTTACATGCTCAAATGTGGCTCATGTCACCCTGTACCTGGTACACAGCTGATTTTTAGATCTCTCCTTACCCATCATCCTGGGGATTCCCTCACCTGAGTCCTGTTACGGATCTCTGGTTTCCTGTAGTTCGTGTCTTGTTTGCTTTACTTGTAGCACTGTAGTGCATTCTCCAGTAGTTTCCTGAGATAGAATTTTTCAAGATCTTGCATGTCTAATAATTCCATCAAAGGATCCCTTAATGTCTGACATGTTTTTATTTCTTTCGTTTTCCATTTGACACTTTTTTAGAGTTTGCATCTGAAAATCCACATCTGCTCTTCTGTTTATGCATGTTGTTTACCTTTTTTCCACTAGATCCTTTAACGTCTTAATTATAGTTACCTATTAATACAAGTCTGATACCTGGACCATCTAAGTTTGGCTTTGTTTTCTGTTTTTTGGCCATGGAGTCACTATTTTCTGTCTTAAAATAACAGCAGAGTTGGAAGTAAGTATTTCTGGTTAGAGATAGGCACATTTTTGTTAGGCCCTTAGTGTGTGGTGTTGAGTCAGTCTAGTGTGTAGTTGAGCCAGATTTGGCTTTTGTTGCCCTGTTTGCCTTCAGTACACTCTATTCTTCACATTCTTCCATGGTGGATTGTGGCTACCTTGTGCTTGGTGTGGACCCTGGAATACCTAAAGGTTTCTGTGCAGCCCGGGAGGCCTGCGCCACAGATGAGGGGGTCTTCTGCCAAGGCTTTGTTACTCCCTCAGGTGTAGACTGCTGGTCCTTGTTACTTGGTGCAAGATTTGAGATAGGGACAGGGGCTTTCACTCCTGCTTCAGCCTCATCTTGGGCCTCATATGACACAGCCTCAGGGTTCACAAGTTTTCACTGCCTCTGCTCCCTATCCAGTCACCTCTGCCTCCTACTTAGGGAAGAATTTAGATTTCCTTGCCCTCTCCAGTGGCAACTGTGTTCTGCGTGTGTCTGTGGTAGGTCTTGGGCGCTTGTGTCCTGCCTTTCCCCAGCAACCACAGACCAGCTTTGTATCCATGCAGAATATCAGGCAGGAGTGGATTTCCTTCCCTTTGCACAACATCAGATGCTTTTGCCTAACGCCAGGGCAGAGCGAAGAGAGCAGGATTTCAGTCCCCTCCCTGGAGGCAGCCACCTTTTGCCTGGTATCAGGGCAGGGACAAGGGTAGGGTATGGAGGGTTTCCTGCCCTTCTTCCAGAGGCAGACAGCTTTGGCCTCTTATCAGAGGAGGGTCCAGGGTGCAGGCAGGTTTCTGCAGTTGATCATCCTCTTGTATTCCTGTAGGTCACGGGTGGGCCTCTCCAGTTAGTCCTGCTGTACTCTCAAATAGTCAGGCCCTGAATGTGCTGCACAGGGTCTCCTCCTTGCCCACAGTCTTTCTCAAGAGCACATGGGACAGGCCTGAAAAAAAGACCCTGGTGAGTGGGCGTGGACTCCTTGGCCTTCCCAGGGATCCTAAGCTGTCAAGCTAGCGTACCTCGGCCTTTAAAAACTCATCAAAATTATGCCATTTTTTAAAACTTTTTGGTGACTACCACTTCCTCCTGTCCTCAGCCAGTAGAATAGTTTGTGTGTCCTTTCTATTCTTGGAGAGGCTTTCTGCCCTTTGGAACTCAACTACTAGTTGCATTGTGAGCTCAGCTGTCTCATGGGCCCCCCAGAAGTTTAGGATTTTGTAGATTATCCAGCTTTTTCTGTTCGTATGGCAGTAATAATTCTTCTGTGGTTTTCTACATCCTAAACAGAAGCTGAGACCATATATGTCTAAATGCCTTCATTTTGCCCTCATCTTTGATTAATGGTTTGATGGCGGGTAGAATTCTAGCTTGGAAAACATTTCCATTCAAAATTTTTAAAGACGTCAATCTATTGTCTTAGAAGCTAGAGCTTCCATTATTGCTGTTCCGAAGGCTGAAACCATTCTGAGTCCTGTTAATACATGAACTGTTTCTTCCCCGTTGAAGTTGGTAGGATCTGTGGTCCTGGCATTCTGAAATTTCACAGGTTTGGCACAGGTTTATTTTCATCCTTGTGTTGGGCACTTGGTGGACTTACTCAGTCTGGAAATCATGTTCTTTGTTTCTGGGAAATTTTCTTGAAGTATGTTGTCGAAGATTTTCTCCCTTTCTGTTTTCTGTTCTTCTTTTATATATTGAACCTCCTGGACTGGTCTTCAAAGCATCTTTTCTCTTCTAAGGATTTTCTGTGACTCTGTCTTTTTGCTCTACTTTCTGGGTGATTTCCAGTGCTTTCTTTGGGTTTCTTGTTTTTGCTCTCAAATTTTTAATCCTCGTGAGATATTTTTTGTTCTTAGAATGTCCCCTTTTTTTTTATCCTGTCGTTATATCAAAACAGCACTATATTATCTCCCCTAAGATATTAGTAAAAGTTTGTTTTGATTTTTTAAGTTTTCTTCCCCCTGCATAATTTTGTTTTCTTTAGTTTCCTTTTTTTTCCCCCACGTATTTGTTTTGGTCTTGATCTTTAGTAGAGGTTTCCCCAGATGTCAAATGATCCTTGAATACCAGTTTATTTTTGAGAATAAGGAATCAAAATTGGGGTGAAACCTCTAAGCACATGAGTGGAGCTTGTTGACTGTGAACTTCACTGGAAGGTGATCTGACCAGGTCATTTCTTTGGGAAATCCCTGATAGAAGTATTTTCACGTGTTTCCTCGAGGTGGCCGGATTCTGCAGAGGACATCTTCCTGCTTTCCGCTGCATAGGGAAGGCCTGGCCAACATTCTGGGACCTAAGGGGGCAGGCAGAGGGGAGTCCCAGCACCCAGATGCACACATGTTCGCTGAATCCCCATTTTCAGTAGGGTTGATCTCAGCTAGGTCTTATGCCTTCAATTCAGAGACCCACTATTTACTTTCTCCAGAGAATCAGTTACGGTCTTTTTCCTGTTCAGGACATAGAAAAGGGGGCCTGGGGATGTGACTCTTTCTTAAACACAATGAAAAAATCCTCCTTACTTTAGCCTCACTTTTCACCTCCACTTACAGAAGTAACTTTTGCTGCCACTTCCTTTTGTTTGGGGGAATTTTGCAGTATAAATCAAGTTGTTTTTTGGTTTTTCCCTATGTTAATATAAAACTCCCTCATCTTGAGTCAGCTTGGTTTTCATCTTATTTTCAAATTCTAAATTTTATTGCTGTTGTCTGCTCTCCTGTTTTCTCCATTCTTCTGGGTTTTTGTCTTTGGAAAATCCTTTACTGCTATAGTGAGATGCTTAGGGAGAGAAAGTAGAGTTTATATGTGCAAATCTGTCATTTTTACCCAGAACTCCAAAACAGTAATCTTAATTAAAAAACAAAACTCCTTTGGAGATTCCCACACCTCCTAACAAGGCTTTGATCCTCCATTATTAGAGGATACAACATCTGGCAATAGTGGGATTATTTTAACAACTACTATCATTAAGAAACTTACACAATTTGCAAAAGGAAGAACTAATTTTCTTTTTTCAACCTTACTAGGCCCAAGTCTGTTTTGGTGGTCTGAGAAGAAAAAAGATGAGCTTTTAAAATTTTGGGAAAATTATATTTTAATTATGGAAACTCTAGAAGGAAATCAGGTAAGTGTTTTCTTACTTTAGCAAATCCTACAGTAGATAATAATTTTTTCTTCTTTTCAAACGTTCATTAAAAACAATGCAGAAAGAACAACTTGGATCTAGCAGGTGATGATAGAATCCAAGTGTACTTTGTTTTCTGGCATAAATGGCGATTTAAAATAGAATATAAATTGTTTCAGGAAATTAATACTTTCAAGGGACTTAAATTTATCGTTCAAAAAATTTAGTTATATTTGATCATCCCTTGACATTCTGAGACTTTAACGTCTATCAGAATTACCAGGATGGCTTATTATAAATTGCTGGGCCCTGTCCTCAGGCTTTCTGATTGAGTAGGTCTGGGCTGGGGCCTGAGAATTTGAACGTTTTGCAAGTTCCCAGGTGATGCCCCTGCTGCTGTTCTGGGGACCACTAAGGGGCCAGCCACCTGGAGTCACTGTAAGGTGTCAATCCAAATGTGCACCAAGCATTGTTTGTGGAATGAAATGAAGAATCACTCCTACATACTAAATATATATAGATGTAAGGATGAGGAATAAATAAAAAGCATTTCTAAATTCAAGTAAACTTTTATGGTTTTCTTCAATCAATAGATCCATAAGACCCCCATTATTTATTTAGAAACTCAAATTTACATATATTTTGAAGGTTATATAAATTAAACTCTAGCAAAGGTGTTAGCAACGTAGTCTGGTGTGAAAAACATTGAATGCTGAACTGGCTCTACTTCTAAGTGTGTGACCTTGAACAATGTGAGTGACTAGAGAAAATATTTCAGTATTTTTTTCCTCTTTGTAATATACTGGTATTATCAGTCCTACCTATTTCCCAAGACAGTTGAGAATTGCATGATAAAATTTATGATAATCACTATATAAATATAAACATTGCTGTAACTATATTCTAGGTTATATTCATTAGCTTTGCGATACTCAGTCTTGCATAATTGAATCATAGTATGTTTTAAAAACTGGAAAATTCAGACTCCTGTGTATTTTTTGAATGGAAGTAAAAACAGAAACAGAAGGGCTACTGTTATATAAATAGATGACAATTCTCTTAATTTCTTAAAGGTAGATTTTCATTTCATATGATATTTTGCTCTTATTCTTAGATACATGTTATAAAGCCAGTCTTACCAAAGCTGAACAATCTGTTTGAATATGCAGTGTCAGAAGAAAATGGTAATGATTACTATTATTTTGATTTTTATAACACTTATAGTTTTTTCTGATTTTATGACTAATACTCGTTCATTGTAGAGAATGTGGGCAAACTGTAAAAGTATACAGAAGCTAATGAATCATCTTGTAATGTTTCCACCAAGAGATAACAGCTGTTAACATTCCAGATATACACCTTCTGGATCATGTTGTTCAGAATGTTTACCTCACTTAGCATAATATCTATATCTACTTACCTATATTCTTAAATAGTCTTTAAAGCAAAATTTTAAATGGCTGCGAGAATTTTCCGTAATTTAGAGATATGGTTAATTTTTTAAGCTTTTGATTATGGAAAATTTCAAACATTTACAAAAGGAGAGGAGTGTATATGATGAACCTTTTGGTTTTTTTTTTTTTCTTTCTATCTTTTTTCCCCTTCAACACAAGGTAGGAAAGTATGATGAACCTATCACCCACTTCAACAACAATCCACCCATGGCCAGCCCCGTTTACTGTATCAGATGTAGCCTTTCCTGCTCCCCACCAAATGCTTTTGAAGTACATCCCTGGATGTCGTATCATTTTATCTGTAAATATTACAGTATATATCCTTAAAAGATAAAGACTCTTTGGAATATTTTAATGATGATATATTCTGTTTTTAATAATAGGTCTGTACCAATATGAATATACATTTTAACTGCTTTCCATTCTTATTCTCTTAATAAATCTTTTCCAATGTTTGTTAGCATTACTTTTCTTGGGGTTTCAGTTTTCTTGTGACTTCGACTTCTTAGGAATTTGAAAATTCCAAGGTATAATTTTAAATATGGTTTATAAGCCATTAATCACTGCTGTAATATGGGAACTTTTTAGGAGAAATACAATGAAACTAGAGCTTCCTAAAATTATTTTATGAAATTAAGTTTCAATCAATGAAATAGCTAAATAGAGGCCAATAGTGTTTTTTATTCATATGATTGATAAAATGCTACATTGTGTTTACACATAAGAATTAATCTAGGTAAATGGGTTTTAGTGCCTACTCTAGATAATTACAACTTTAATAGTTTGACCCCTTAGGAATTGAGCTTTATTCAGCTGATTGCTCTGAGTTGTTTTCTGATACATTGGGATTTTTCACAGACCATAAGCATCTATAGTTCCACCTGGGACTAGAATTTAATTGCATCCTGTTGTGACTTCACTTACGCATTTACTGTTAAAATGACGTTCTTCTTACCACATTTTGCCCGTAGCTCTTGGCAAACCAAATCAAGTAGCAGTGACAGATTTTGAAAAATTATCATTGCCAAAGAGTTGAACAAGTATCTTGGTGTAAATTGCAAATAATAGGCCTATTTATTTATAGAATGTCGTGAGTTTAAAATGCTGAATGTTTCTTTTCTAATAGAATTAAAGGATATTTCAAAAGAGAAAATCCATTAAGGTACACATTTATTCCATTTTTTATTTGCTCACTCATTTGTATATTCACGTCATAGATACTTACATGGTGTGCAATATATGCTAAGCCCTGGAGATAAAGTGGTGAGAGACATGCAGTATTTTTCACTTGAAAAAATTGTTTCGATTATAAGTTTTAGGAAGGGAACAGACGAGAGGCTGAAATGGAGTAAAGGATGAGTGGAGTAGTCAGGGAAGGCCTGTCTCAGGGATGGCATCCAAGCTCAGAGCCCCTGCTGAGGTGCAGCACCTGGTACACAAGCCCTGAGGTGGGAGCAGCTCCATGAGGCGAACAGGAGGACCAGTGGCTGCAGCGTAGAGGGCGTGTGGAGGGCACGAGGTTGGCCTGGTAGACAGAGTAAGTTTTTGCCTCATTCGGATTCTATTCTAGGAGTGATCGGAAGCTATTCAAGGTTTTTAAGCAGAGGACTGACAGTTTCAGAGTCCTGTATAAAAAAGGAGATTGAAGTGGGATAAGAGAAGAATTGGTCGAAACTACCCCCAGATCTAAAGTTCCAACCTGCATGCATGGGGTAATAATTAGTTTTTGTACACTGCAGCAGCTATAACATTCGTTTGCATTCATTCTAAGTGAAACTACCTGAATATGGAATACTGAATGCCAAAATTATTTTTGTTATTCAGTAAACACCTTTGGATATGATTAAAAACAGGCTCACTTTAGTAGTGTTAAAATGAAGTTAATGCGTTTGTCTGTAAGTGTATTTATTTATAAGTATGTAGTCTACATGGAGAGACATAAAGTTAGAATCAAATGTCAACATTAAATGTTTTTTTCCACAGGATGTTGGCTCTTTCATCCATCCTGGCATATGTGTATTTACAAAAGAATGTTTGAAAGTGAAAATAAAATTCTGACCAAAGAAGGTGTTATCCATTTTTTGGAGCTGTATGAAATAAAATTCCTGCCATTTTCACTAGAATTTTCTGAGGTAATGACAGCCTATCCTCTTCCTTGCTCTTTTTGTCAAAAGATGGGAGGTAAAAATATACTAGGACTTTATGTCAGCAAGTATTATTATATAGATTTGCATACAGCAAATTCTATTTCTCCAGACCTATCTATCTTGTTCAGAAAAAGCTTATGTCATTTCTCAGTAAGCTGAATGGTAGAACTGCCTGTAGCATGACCATTGTGAAGAGTAGTTCTGTGGTATCAATATTCTAAGCAACATAAGTCAAGAGTATGAAAACTGTGGTGTAGAAGGTTTTAGGTGATACTGCTCTTGCAGTTCTGAATCTCTGAGTTACTGTTATTTAGTGTTGCTACTCTCCCAGTTCTGACTCATCGAAATACTGCTGTCTACTTTATTAAGCAGAGATTGTCTTCTGAGCTATATTCATTGGAGTCTATATTTCCATTTGTCAGGAACCACACAAAGTGAAGAGAAGGTGAGAATTATAGCTGTGATTTTAAGTTTTATGTTACAGTGCCACGTGAGTCAGTCACATGGTCACTTCCTTAGGTAGAGTAATACCTGTCATTTAGAGGTAACCTCAGTCAATTTTTCTAGTTATCTCAATACATTCTATAGTATTTTGATATGGATCATTTTTCTACATTCTCCTATTCTTCCTGTACTTCATGTAAACTTTTTTGACTAGTGTCTAGTAATGTTTTTGAGTATAATTTTCCCCTTTTATCTTGTAGGTAGAGGGGATTAAATTCTCTCAAGTTTCTTTTTGTTTTTTTCTGTTACTACCTTTGTTTTCTAGCATGTGGTTTCTTCTTCGGTTCCTCTCTTCTTTCTTGATCCAATATATGAATTCTCTTAATATGTCATGAGTTTTCATCAGGCAGGAGAATTCTGAACTTACTTTGTTCTGGTAGAATTAAGGTTACCCTGTAAGACCATCACTGAATTAACCTACAGCGTAAGAGGTCAGTTTTGCTTGTAGCAGCTCCTCTGCCAGCCTGTGTAGGATGGACAGTCAGGGGAAGCGGACTTTTAAAAATTGCAGTTACAACTTAATATCAATTGCGTGTCTTTTTTTTTTTTTTTTTTAGTTTATTATTGGACCATTAATGGATGCACTTTCAGAGTGTTCTCTGTATAGCAGGTAAACAAACATTATTTTGTTTAGCAGTAATGCAGTACTATGTATTTGATACATAAATTTGATGTTATGAGACATGACCAGATTGTTTAATGTATTTGGTACATAATATATGTTGCCTAACAGTCAGCTTTTTCTTATCTTTTGGTTTCTTCTATATTTACAGTTCTTCTTGCCTTCTATTATTTGTATCAAGTGTTCCTTTCCTGCCTTGAGCTCCTCCATTCTTGGGCTCTGTGTCTTTTGTAGCTCACTTTCTCACCCCTACTCCTGCTTTCTGCCCTCTTGGAAATTGGAATGACTTTGGCTAATGAACACTGTAAACTTTTTTCCTTTTTCTTTTGACTTAGTTTTAGACTTACAGAAAAGATATGAGAATAATACAAAGATTTCCCTTTTACTTTTCATCTGTATTCCCCAAATGTTAATGTTTTACCACATTTGCTTAATTGTGGTCTCTTCTTGCTGCGTGTGCGTGCGTATATGTATCTTCGCTTTCTTAGCTCTGTCAGCTGAGCAGACTTACCTGTTTGTTTCAGTGTCTGTCTGTCCTGGCCATCCATCCATCTTTCCATATTAAGAACCATGAATTCACAGCAATGCATCCCATTTCAGTCCAATACCACAAGGTTCATTCTAACCTTTTTCCTTTCAGTATCTGACAGTGGCTGTCATTTTACTTACTTGTCACCTTTACCTCTTGAAAAGGTTAACCGAAGAGTTTGTCAGGATTATGCCTTAGCCTCATTGTTTTTGAGCATTGTCTGTACTCTTGAATTATACCTTCAAAAATTTCCCTTTTGCAATTATGTTTGTCATCTTTCTATAATAATATTAACTAAATTTATAGTTGTAAGTCTTCTGTTTGGTGTGCCTCTAAGCAGGAAAAATCCCTCCCCACCAGTTTCTTTAAAAATTTTTAATTAGTTTGCACCAAGTTATGTTAATATTTAGTACTGTTTAATAAATATCGAAAGAGCCTAGCAATGCTTGATTTGCCAATTATTTTTAGTTTTCAAATAACTCATTACTCTTGAATAGTTTTCTGAAGCAATTAGACAGCTGGAGAGCAGTAACACCAATGAAAAATCTTGGCGCTTTCTTAAAGAATTGACAGACACATTTGTTACGAAATGCCGTCAGTTTTCTAGTCCTCTAATGTGTTCAATTAACAGATAATGTTCCTGGCAGAAGTATATAGCAGAAAAAATGTGACTTTAATGGATGTTAATAATTAAATGCTCTTTCAAAAGTAATTTATTAGTAATATATGTCTTTACTATGGATGTTATTTCTTTTATTTTAGACCTAAAGATTTAAAGTCATAGGACTATTATGTTGGAAACATTAAAATATTTTAAATTATCATTTTAGGCTGTTATTTTTTATGATACTATTTAGCAAGATTCATATACATGTAAGGGAAAGTGTCATGAAAAGGAAATCCATGCCTACTTAGTAGAGTAGATTATTAACTCAGGTCCATTTTCTTAGAAGTTCCTGATGTTTCTATAATCAGATTCTTAGAGTTTTACTGAAAAATAGAATGCAGGTTCAGAAAAAGATTTTCTGATTTATTGTTGAAAGACCTTTGGGCCATGGTCCATTTAGACTAGTTTCAGTATACTTACTTGTAAATAGATCTTAAATATTTGTTTTTCCTCCCCTCTTTGTATATAGGTCCCCAGGCCAGCTGATAGGAAGCGGTTCTCCATTGGGATTGAAATTACAGAAGTTTTTAGTCACTTATGTTTCTCTTCTTCCAGAAGAAATAAAGAGTATGTGTCAGTAAAGAGTTTTTAAAAAATTTGTTAGCTTATAATTTTTTTATTGTTAGCATATTGGTTATAAGCACCATTGTATGACTATTATAATCAGTATTTTCAAAATAGTTTTTTTCCAGGATATGCACATTTTGTCAGAATGCATATCCTGGAAGATTGTGAATACACACTTTTGCCGTTGTATGTAACATTGCCAGTATTGGCATGAGTACCATGTAAGTAATTTTAAAACGTGTGTTGCAGTTTAGCTATTTTTTCTAATTGTCTACTATTCAGTTTTAAGAATTAGTAAAATATATTGAAGAAAGAAAGAACCTGCTTTTAGGAGAAAGTTGTAAATAGAACATCCGTTATGGCGAGTTGTGCCTTTATAGATGCTGACTTAGAATGATAAGAAAGAAAAACATTTACATTTTATGTAAAATCTTGTATCCTAGAACTATCTCACTTCTTTAGGTTGGGGATTTATTTTTCTTTCTGATGAGGTAAGTTGGTAAGCAAAGCACAAAAGCAGTGTGATTTTGTTTGCTGAGCAGCAGAAAAGGACTTACTCTGCTTTGTAAGTCCTTTTTTCTCTCCCACCTTTGATTTTTAAAGTGACCCTGGGTATGAAATATATATTTTTTTATTCTAATCTGCAAACAGGATGACAAGATGACCAATGGTAATATGTATTCAAAAGTCAGGGATAATATGGAAAGTACGGTCTGTATATCATGACTTTAAATTATATAAAATTGATTGTTTTGATTACTTTTTTTTTTTTTTTTTTTTTACAAAAAATTAGTTTGTAGAGGAGATAATTTAACTGTTAGAGCCATTCTTCAGTTTGGTGGCATTCAGAAGTTTAAGCTTCTGGGCTGCACCCCTGTGATAATTAATTTGTTGCCCACGTTGGTGCCTCCCCGTGTCAGTGGCACACGTGAGTGAAATAACATGGTCAGCACTTCTTAAAATTGGAGTGCCTGGTGTTTGTGGCTCAGGGCCAGGCATGCCACAGGCACTGGTAAATGTGTTGAAGGAATGGGAAACGGAAGCTTAGCTGTTGCCATCTTCCTCATGTCATGAGTGCCGTGTTAGGCAAAAGACGGGATTTATTGAACTTAATTAGTGCAAACAGAAGAGAGAAAAAGTTCAGATGTTTATTCACAGTTCTTAGTAATTTTTTTCAGTCGCCAGTTTCCAGTGAATATCTTTTGTATATCTAGTTTTGTGCTAGGAACTTTTGAAGATACAAAACACATACGATATCCTTTTAGGAGCTTCTGAGGGTTTCTTAAAAGTCATCCTTCAGTGATGATCTGAGAAAACACAGTCCGCTGACTATGTAACCTGAGGGTTCTTAACACATCACACATTAGCATAGAGGGCGGAATGAAACACCATCCCTTTGTATCTCAAAATAGAAATATAAATGATGGTCATTAGATCTAGGCTAGTCAAGAAACAGCTTATGAGAAAGATCTAATATTGTTTGCAGATACTAAAGGCCAGTTACCATCAGTACTTCCTGTCTTGTTTTTCCTTAACATCTCAAACAGAAGAATGACTTCTAACTGTAAAAAATTTATCTTTAACGTTTTTTTTAAGGTAGCATCATGGTTATCAGACTCTGCAATATAGTAGAATACTTATCTTAGTGGAAATGAAATTAAAATAACATTGATTTTTTTCTTATAAGAGCTTTATTGAGATATAATTCATATACCGTAAAATTCACCCTTTTAAACTGTTCGATTCAGTGGTGTTTAGTATATTCAAAAAGGTGTACAACTGTCACCACTATCCAATTCCATAATGTTTTCATTATGGAATCACCCAAAAAGAAACCCCATTAGCAGCCACTTCTTATTCTCCTCTCTTCCCAGCTCCTGGCGGCCACTAATCTACTTTCTACTTTCTGTCTTTTTAGATTTGCATATTCCAAACATTTCACATAAATGGAATCATAGAGTATGTGGCCTTTTATGTCTGGCTTCTTTCACTTGGCATAGTATTTTCAAGGTTCATCCATGTTGTAGCATGTATCAGTATTTCATTCCTTTTTGTGGCTGAATAATATTCCACCGTATAGATATTCCTCATTTTATCCATTCATCAGTTGATAGGCATTTGGATTGTTTTCACTTTTGACTATTATGAAAAATGTTGCTGTGAATATTCATGTACAGATGTTTGATTGAGCACAGGCTTTCGATTCTCTTGGGTATATGCCCAGGGGTGGAATTGTTGGGTCATATGTTTAATTTTTTGAGGAATTGCCTTATTGTTTTCCACAGTGGCTGTACCATTTTACAATCCCACTAGCAATGTATGAGGGTTCCAGTTTCTCTGTATCCTTCCCAACATTGCTTATTGCTTAGAGTCACTCTAGTGGGCATGAAGTAGTATCTCATTATGGTTTTTGATTTATGTTTCCCTAATGACTAACGATGTTGAGCATCTTTTCATGTGCTTATCGGCAACAACGATGTTTTAAAACTTTTTCTTTCAGGTAGTTTCCTATTAAAGTTTATTCAGAAGATGACAAGTAGACATTGGTGTGCTGTTCCCATTTTGTTTTTATCAAAGGCTTTGGCAAATGTCCCAAGATCTAAGTTCCTGGGTATAGAAGGGCTTCTTGCTCTCAGGTAATTTACCCTGTATGTATGTTCATGTCTGGTTATTTTCCATGACTTTCCATCAGTATATATTGTTTTTCTACAATGCTTGGTTTAATCTACAGTGAGTGGTTTAGTTAATATTGGCATTGGGATATTTGAGCTCTTAATTTTATATGAGAAAAAAATAAATTTTAAAAATCTGTTACTCATATAATTGAACTAATTTTGTTTTATGAATTACTAATTTAAGTATGGACCAAAATGTATGCTACTGGATTTTGACCACTAAGTAAGGCCGGTAGGCTTTTTTATTACTTCGATAAGTAGAAAACTAAAGATAAAACATCAAACAATAATATTGATTAGAAATTATGTCAAAAAATATGAAAATTTTACTTTAAAAGTGTCTTCATTTATTGCTTATTTTAAAAAGAGATTTATGGCATATTAAAATTGAGCTCTACTTGAGGCCATAATGGAAAATAGTAGCTTTGAAATTCTACTGACAGTGACTTTCTGCATTGGAAATTGTGGATGTTATAAATCATCTTGTCAGTAATTACAGATTATCAGAATTGTCTTTGGGCACATGGAAATGCATTTTTTTGTGTGTTTTGATGTCAGGGATGTTATTCATTGCACAATGATCACACATCAGATTCTATTGAGAGGGGCAGCTCAATGCTATCTTCTTCAAACAGCTCTGAATTTGCTGGATGTGGTAAGTTGATCGTTTGATACTTCCATTTACAAGTCTGCCTTAGTGAGTGGGTGTGCAAAAATGAGTTAACATAGCAGCCCTGTGACACCACCATTAGAAAGGTCTGCTTATAGGATTGCCCTTGGCCGGCATGTGGGAACTCCTATCCTAATTGATAGGAGTGGCACACTGTGCCCACAGTGTGTACAAACAATGCGTTTGTGCCGAACACTTGCTTTCCTTCTGGGAGTCTGGAATTTCAGTACATGTGGAGGCAAAGGGTATCTCCATGACCAGATCCCAGTAAAAACGCGGGGCACTGAGTCGCTAGTGAGCTTCCCTGGCAGACAGCATTTCACTGTGATGGCATAGCTCATTGCCGGGGGACCTGAGCACATCCTGGGTGACCCTCTGGGGGAGGACTCTGGAAGTGTGTGCCTAGTTTTCTTCCTCACTTTTCCACCTCATCTTCCAGAATATTGACATCCAAGGAAGATATACTATTTTTATTCTCTGCTTTTGACAGAGCCCCAATAATTACTGTTGCTTAGAGCAGGGGTCAGCAGACTTTTTCTGTGAAGTGCCAGATGGTAAATAGTTTAGGCTTTGCTGGTGGTTGTATGATCTCTGTTCCAACTTCTGAACTCTTCCATTGTAGCCAAAAGCAGCCACAGACAGCTTATAAATAAATGGACATGGCTGTGTTCCAGCAAAACTTTATTCACAAAAATTTAGGCTGTGAGAAGTTTTGCCGAGCCCTGGCCTAGAGCAAGGGATCTTAATTCAAGATACACTTCATTTCAAGGGAATGAAAGACCTTGGTGGTTTTCTTTAGTCAAGTGGTCATTTTTGTGGCTTTGAAAAAAATCACTTTTTGATTGAAAGTAATTTCTTCTTATAGAATGGTGTTTTTTTCCTTTAGCATTGGGACCATCTTTTCTCTAAGATAGTAACCTCAATTTTAAGGAAAATAGATTTTTAAAATAATCTTTCACTTTATATAATGAAAGATTGTAACTGATATCTTCATTTTAAAAGCTGAATATTTTCTTCTTAAAATACAGTTTTGATTTAGCTAATGATGTTCTACTTTAAATAGTATAGTTAGTTGCTTCCACAGTGATTTTATTTTATTCAATTAAAAATGTTAAAATGAATAATTTTTTAAAACTCCCATCGTGCCTAGGAGAAGGTGTCACTTTCTGATGTCTCAACTTTTCTCATGTCTCTGAGACAAGAGGAATCCTTAGGACGAGGAACTTCACTGTGGACAGAGGTAAGATTGGAAGTTTTAATAAAGTCTTTGAAAACTATAAAAAGTTTGTTTTCTAATTGAGTTCAATACTAGCCATATATGTAAGATATAATGATTGCTTTGTTATCTATGAACAGAGATTTTGATGTATATTTGCTTCTAGTGGACTTAACTAATGCTACTAAGATTCTCATGGAGAGGTGGGAGAGAAAAATGTTTGCAGTAGAGAGAAACCTATTTAGAAGGAAATACAGTGCTAGTGGGCAGATCTCAATTCTGGATGAGATGTATTAGGAATAATGACAATATTAGACTCAAAAACAGTAACACCAACTTCTTTCTCTTTTTCTGTCACTTAATGGCCCTTTCCTCTTCTTAGTCACCCAAGCCTGACATTTCAGTAATTCTCAGTTCTTGACTTTATGTGTCTAATTCGTCATGAAACCCTGATGTCTCTTAAACATCTTTCTTCTTATCCATTCCCTCCTTGCTGTAGCTCACACCCTCCTCACGTGAAGCTTCTTCCGCTGTGATGATGTCTTGTTGATGCTATGTCCCTGGCCTAAAGGCCTCTGCCCTCTGACTAAGCTGCTCTTCTCAGCAGGACTCTTCCCATGAATTAAACCATGGGACTTAATTCATACTGCTGACTTTAGCCCTTATTCACGACATCTTGGTCGAGGCTCAAGTTCTGATTTCTGTCCTGTCTAGGCTATTTTTATATGTGTGTGTGTGTATATATATATATTTTTTTACATACATGTTTATATATGGACAAGAACCATATATATATGTGTGTGTGTGTGTGTGTATGTGTGTGTGTTTAATTTTTCTAGTGCCTGGGAGATCAGTGAGACTAGGAATTCTTTCTTTTAGAAGGCAGTTCTGACTATATATACATACAGAGAAGCAAGAGAAATCAGCTTGAAGTGTGTCATAATTCCAGTGTTAAAATAACGAGGGCTTAGTAAGTTAATGGCAGAGTAAATGAAGGAGGGGCAAATTATTAGGGCCTTTAAAAAACAGTTTCATTTTATTTTCATGACCATAATGCATCTAATATGTGGAATTTGAAAAATATAGAACTATATAAATAAAATCAACTGTAATGCCCACCATTAGTTCTTAATTTTTTTCCCTGTGAATATATGTATTCTCTTCCTTTCTCATAATAGGTATGTTTATGTGTATTTAAAATGATATAGTAATACATAAGATCTTTCTAAAGAAAATAAAGATTATACTTTTTGAATTTTATTTTTTTCACAGCTATTCAGGTATTTTAGCATGTCGCTAAGTTATTCATCAAGATGTGATAGTAAAAATTCAGTTGAGTAAATATTTTAGAATTTATTTAATCAGTTCCTTTTGTTGGACTTTGTTTCAGAGTTTTTGCTTTTGTAAATAACAATGGGAGGAACATAGTCCTATATATGTTTTTTTTATCCTTTTATTTTAGTATAAATTCATAGAACTGAAATTGCTGGATTTCAATATTTTTAAGGTTCTTCCTGTAGATTGAGAGAGGTTTCAAAGTGTGAAAGTATATATCCGTGTTATCTCTGCATCGATACAGTACCGAATGTATCAGCATGCTACGTTCTTTGGCACTTTGGTAGGTGAAACACATTATTTGATGATTTTATTTGCAATTCTCTGATCACAGTTGTTTTTGAACATTTTTTCATGTTTCTTCATAGAATTTCTTTTGTGAATTCTGTCCTTTCCTCCATTTCCTTTTGAAGTTTTTTGGATTTTTTTCCTACTTGATTTGTAAGCACTCTTTTTATATTGAGGGTATTGACAAGTTGTTATATTTGTTGCAGATAATTTTTCTTAGTTCTTTTTTTTTAATTTAGCTTTTCTTGCTTGAATAGGTAACAATTTACACAATTCAAAGATTAAAACTATTGGTCAGAAGTGTCTCATTTCCATCTTACTCTTCTGCTCTGCCCTGCCTCTCATCCCATCCCACCCCTGTCCCTAAACAAATGATAGCTTTTGATGTAGACTCTGCATACCACCTTTCAAATTTTAATTAAAAATATATTCTAGTGATTTTTTTATATCTATAGGTAGACACTTCAATTCTTTTTTGTTTGCTTGCATACAATTGGGTGGTTGTACCTTTTTTTTTTTTTTTTGGAGACAGGGTCTCAACCTGCTGCCCAGGCTAGAGTGCAGTGGCGTCATCATAGCTCACTGCAACCTCAAACTCCTGGGCTCAAGTGATCCTCCTGCCTCAGCCTCCCAAGTAGCTGGGGCTACAGGTGCTTGCCACTACGCCCGGCTAATTTTTCTGTTTTTTTGTAGAGATGGGTTCTTGCTCTGTTGCCCAGGCTGGTCAAGTGGTCCTCCCACCTCAGCCTCCTAAAGTGCTGGGATTACAGGTGTGAGCCACCACTCCCAGCCCCTTGTACCATTATTTATTCAACTTTTTCATTGCTGAACTCTTGAGTTGTTCCAGTCTTTGCCTCTTACAAAACAGTGCCAGTGTTTTTTCGCTTTTGCAGGTATGTCTGTAGATTGGATTCCTAGAATTGGTCAAAGATGACGTGCATGTGTAATTTTTCTGAATATTACCAAATTTCCCTCCACAGTGTTGGTGTTAGTTTCCTGCCACTGCTACAATAAATTATCACCAAGTTGGTTGCTTAAAATAACATATGTTTATTCTCTTACAACTCTGGAAGTCAGAATTTTGAAATCAATATCACTGGGCTGGAATCAGGATTCTGACAGGTTCTAGGGGAGAATCTGTTTCCTTGCTTTTCCCAGTTTCTGCAGCTGCAGCATAGCGTCTTCAAATCTCTGCTTCGTTTTCATGTCACCTCCTCGTCCTCCACTTCTGCAGTCACATCTGCCTCTGCCTTCCTTTTAGAAGGGCACTCGTGATTACATTGAGCCCACTCCAGTAATCCAGGGAAATTTCCCCATCTCAGAATCCTTAACTTAATGACATCGGCAAAGCTCCTTTTGCTACATACAGTGATAGTCACAGGTTCCAGGGATTAGGACTTGCATATCTTTGGGGCTGTTATGCCACCTACCACAGGGTTGCATAAATTTCACAGTGCTTGATGGTGTCTGTTGTGATATTTGAATTTTTTGCCAACCTGGTAGATGAGAAAGGACATCTCAGTGTAATTTTGATTTATTTTTCTCTTACCGTAATTTGTAAGTTTGGGTACCTTTTCTATTTGTTTTCATTTTGATTTTTGACGTAGTTTATAGTTTATTTTCCTGTAGCTTTTTACTTATGACAAATTTAAACATTTTTTAGAGAAGAGTATAATGAGCTCTCATGTACCCATCACCCAGCATGCATAAGACTACTTACAGCCAATCTTCTTTCACCTGGGCATCTCTACTCTCCGTTTTTCTCCCAATTATTTTGAATCAAATCCTATCAAATCTTATTTCATCTATAAATATTTCAGTATGTACTGCTAAAAGATAAGGACTTTAAAGGGCCTAAAAAATAAGCCCTTATCACACCTAAAAAAAACTTATAGTAATTTCTTTATTTTAAATATCCAATATCTAAATTTCTCCAGATGGCTAACAAATGTGTTTCTAAATTTTGTTTTCTGCATTTTTTTTGTTCAGATATTCAATCTTGTTTATTCAAATATCCAAATAAGACTTAGTCATTGCAGTTGATAGGTATAGTTTTTAAATTGTGGACTTTAATCCATCTGGAATTTATTTTGTCGTATGAGCTGTGAGGTTTTAAAAGAGAAAATTTATGTAAAAATGCTTCCGATTATATTTAGCCCATGTCTTCTATGACTGCTATCCCATCTCTACTCTCTCCCTCCATCTGAGGAGCCAGGTATTTGCCTGTTGTTAAAAAGCCAGCTCTTAGATTTCCTTATTTGTCCCACTAAATTTTTCAGTTCTGTAATTATGTCCGCTTTCACCTGTTTCCTTCTTTTACTGTCAGTTTGCTTGCTTATCTCCTAATGTCTTGATTTTGTCTATTGAGAACTACTTAGTGCGTACTTCCCGCACTGGGGCACCGTGCTGAGTGTTGGGAATACAGTGGTCAGCAATTGAAACATGCCAGCCGTCCTCAGGAAGCTTACAGTTGGTGCTTTATAACTTAACCCGAATTTTAATTCTTTTTGTTTGTTTAATAATGAAAGCAAATATATATATCTAAAATCTATAAAATCTTAAATAAGCACAACATGTACTCACTATCACATTGGTTTTAACTGATCAACATCTAAGTGCACATATAGGAATAACATTCATCGGGAGATGGGAGGGGGGAGGACGGGATGGATATATACATACATAATGAGTGCGATGCGCACTGTCTGGGGATGGACACGCTTGAAGCTCTGACTGGAGTCCGGGGCGGGGGGGCAAGGGCAATATACGTAACCTAAACATTTGTACCCCCATAATATGCTGACATAAAAAAAAAATCTTAGTGTAGATTTAGTTACATCCTGTAACTTTTGTTACGTAGTGTTCATATTATTATGTAAATGTCTCATGCTGAATCATGTAAATCATTGATATTCAGTCATTTTTAACCTATAGAAATAGCATTTTCATATAGCTAAGCCTAAATGATTTTTTAATTAATAGACTTTATTTTTGGAGCAGGTTTAGGCTTATAGAAAAATTAAACAAAAAGTACAGAGTTCCCACATACCCCCTTACCACTCCCTCCACCCCTACAATTTCCCCTATTGTTAACAATTTGTATTAGTGTGGTATATTTGTTACGGTTGATGACCCCATGTTGATACATTATTATTAACTAATGTTCTTAGTTTACATTAGCGTTGAGTCTTTGTGTTGTACATTCCATGGGCTTTGGCAAATGTATAGTGCATTACAGTATCACACAGAATAGTTTCACTGCCCAGAAATCTTCTGTGCTCTGCCTATTCTGACCTCCTCACTTTCCCCCTAAATCCTGGAAACCACTACTCCTTTTACTATCTTCGTAGTTTTGCCTTTTCCAGAGTGTCATATAGTTGGAATCCTATAGTATGTAGCCTTTTCAGATTGGCTTCTTTCACTTAGTAATATGCATTTAAGTTTCCTCCTTGTCTTTTCATGGTTTGTTAGCTTATTCCTTTTTAGCATTGAATAATATCCCATTGTCTGGCTGTACCACAGTGTGTTTACTCATTCACTTACTGAAGGACATCTTGGTTCCTTCCGAGTTTTGGCAGTTAGGAACAAGGCTGCTGTAAACATCTGTGTACAGGTTTTGTGTGGACATAACTTTTCAGCTCATTTGGGTAAATACCAAAGAGTGTCATTGCTAGATTGTATGATAACAGTAGGTTTAATTTTTTAAGAAACTGCCGAACTGTCTTCCAAAGTGCTGTACGGTACTGTTTTGCAGCAGTGAGTGCTCCACATTCTCGTCAGCATTTGGTGTTATCAGCATTGTGGATTTTAGCCATGTCAGTAGGTGTGTAGTGGTATCTTCTTGTTTTAATTTACCATTCCCTGATGATATATGATATTGGGCATCTTTTTATACGCTATTTACCATCTATATGTCTTTGAGGAAGGTGTCTGCACATTTTTAAATCAGGCTATTTGTTTTCTTACTCAGAAGTTTTGAAAGTTCTTTCTATGTTTTAGATATCAGTCCCTTTATTAGATATGTGTTTGCAAATATTTCTCCCAGTCTGTGGTTTGTCTTCTCATTTTCTTGATATGTCCAAATAGATTTTTGAGATGTGTATTTTAGCAGAATAAAGCAATCTTGCCACCAGAGACTATGTAGATGCCATTTTTAAACCATAAGTCTGATGTGAAAACTCTTCGAAGGGAAAACAGTCTGAAATTTGTGACAGATTTGATAGAGGGAAGGAAAGAATCAAATATGCATTTGAGTTTACTTGTCAGAAATAATTTTTTGTGTAACAGAATCATGCCTAGGGAAATACAAGATTTGGAAAGCCTCGCATATTTTATAGCAATAATTAGGAAACTTAGTCCAGCCAGTTTTAGAGGAAAGTAAAGAAAAATACATACTGTTAAAAGATAAATATTGGCTGACCTTGCTGTTAGAATATATTTTAAGATTATCTAACTTGATAAAGATCTACACAGAACAACTTCTTTTAGCATTATTGAACTATTCATTCATTGTATGTATGGGATATCTTTTAGTATTTACTGATTCATTAATTCAGTCATTCATCAGTTTTGTCTGTGGTCAAACAAAGTTTCATTCTTTTGCCTCCCTAGAGGTAATTTTGGATGACATTAATGGATGGAAAAAATATTTTTAAAAAAATTCTTACTTTTAGGAAGACTAATTTCATAATTATTTTCTTCAGATTTAAGCTAATTTATTGAATTTGTTTATTAAGATAGCTATTGTAAAAAGGAAATTGAGAACATATTTAGATTCTAAAACAAAAAATTCATAATTACATGTGATCAAAGATTAAGGGTAAAATCTGTGACTTATTTTTGCAAATCTTCTAAGAGATGTAATGGAGAAGAACTAGGAGAGTATTTCTGTTTTGAATTAATGTACAGTATTTTAATATGCACATATGATGGAAGATAAACTTGTGAGAAGGGTAGGAACTTTAATTATAACTTATATTTAAAATTCTACATTCTCTCAAAAATAAAAGTTCTTGTTTTAATATATGAAGCTGAAAGGAGTTTTAAGGTTATAATTTTATGTAATGTATTATTTTTCGTAGAGATGTTCTTTGGAACACCTCCTCAAAATGTGCATTTTATATTAGGTACTTTAGAAATTCTTGCCTGTTAACGACGTTTATAAATTCTTTGAGGGAGATTAGAAAACATACACACACACGTATGTCTACATATCTTATACAAAATATATATACACATACATATATATACATATACACATTTTTTTTGTCTCTGTGGAACCCAATCATGACAATAAATGGTTTATTGCTTTGTTGTTTTTAATGATTTAAATTCATTTTATTGTGGGAAAAAAAATTAGGGAAATTAGAAACCCTTTGTTAAGTTATGTTCTTAAAATAAAGTAGTGACTATCTTCTTTTCTAGCTCTGTGACTGGTTGGATGTTAATGAAAGCTATTTTAAGCTACCCCCAATTTGTAGCCCCGTTGGACTTCATGAGACATCTTTAAATGCTTATGCGAAGACCCTAGTTCAAGAGTACATTAAGTCGCCTGCTTGGGAAAGTAAGTCTAAAATGATTTTTATGGATTGATAAAACCAAAATGTTTTCAAAGGACTTTAGTTTTTCAGATTGAGATTTAGGCTTAACCAAATGTATGATGATTAACTGATGCCAAACTTGTATATTAGTCAAATGATGTGAATAACAGTGTAAAAATACTATTTCCTAACTTCTACCTTTTCTGTTCTAAGACTTGAGGTTTCAAACTACTTATATGTTTATAGAAGCTAATAAGTTGCCTGAGTAAGAATTGCACTCAGATAAATTTATTTATTCTACAGTTACTGAGTCCTTATGAGCTAGACACTGCAGATGTGTTTTGGGAGCCTCTGTAGTGGAAGTATGTGTAGGTAAATTGGTTCATCTTTTTTCCATGTTTGTTTTCATAGTATGAATTGATTGTGAGAAACAATTTTAAAGAAAAAAATATGTTTAAAAGGATAGTTTCATTAGTTTTTTCTGTTAACCAGAGATTTCTTCTTTGAGAAAATGTATAAGACGGCATGAAGGAAGAACTCTTAGTATTCTTTTTATATTTCTAATGCTCCCTCTTCATTAAAATCATTAGTGATAATTTGGGAGAATTGCATCTTTGAATTTAACATGTGTTAAGTTTCCTTGCTTTGTCTCAGGCCAAGTCATTTTCATCTACTGATTTCTCTGATCTGATCATGGAATAGATCTTAGGTGATCGTATAATTATTCTTCCAAAATACACGAGTTTATCTTTCTTGAAACATTCCTCTTTTGTGTTTTATTCTATCTGTTGTCTAGTAAATTTCCTGTGCTGTTACTCGGAAGATTCTTTTGTTAGTCTAAAGAAGTAAATAAATTTAGTCCCTACTAAAATAAACATAGACAGGGGTCAGACACAGGTCTGAGGCACTGTGGCCTTTGTGTCTTTATCCATTCTGTCCCCTTCTGGTTACATTTTAGAGAATGCTGATATCTCAGCTGAAATACTAAAATTGCCTCTTAGCTGATTACCTTGCATCTACTCTTGCTTCTCCTACAATCTCTTTTTCACATTGCAACTAGAGAAATCTTGTCAAAATACAAGTTTTCATCTTAAACCTTTCTCCTCCCTTCTTTGTATATATTCCCTTTAGCCTTTGATGGTTTCCTGTTACCTTTAGAATAGGGACAAAAATCCTCTCCATGCCCTACAAAGTTTCCTGGTCTGTCCCCTATTTGTTTATGCCACCTTGTTTTTTGCTGCTCCCTCTCTCTTAGTGTACACAGGGGAATCCTTCCATTTCCTGGGATATGACATGCCCTCTCCTGCCAGAGGACTTCAGATGTGCTCATCCTGCTCTCTGGAAAGTTCTTGTCTCCCTTCATCGATCTCTTTTCTTCTCAGCCATTTCACTCAGCCCAATTGTCATTTCTTAAGGAAAACGTCCTCTTACTCCCCAGAAAAGGGCATGTTTTCCTGGTGTATGCTCTAATAGCAACGTACCTCTTCTTTATAGCCCTCACTGCAGTTAAAATTTTATATTTACTTGTTTATTTTTTGATTAATGCTTTTCTCCTGTACTGTACTATAAATTCCATGAGCATAGGAACTGTTGTGTCCACAGCATCCCGGTAAGCGCATGGCATATAGGAGGCACACAAAGACTTGTTTTTGTTTATATTTAAATATGTATGTAAAATAATGAGCCATGCCGTACATACGGTGTTCTACTGTATTTCATCTCAGCTGTATTTCTCTAATAATTTAGTATTAATGAGGCATAATCACTTAGCTGTTTTGTTTTTGAAGCAGCATCTTTGAAGGATTTTGTTAACGGATTGCAAACCGTAACTGTTGTTATTTAAGCAGGAGAAAACTGCTTTATGCCTGATTGGTTTGAAGCCAAGCTTGTTGCTCTGATGGTCTTGCTGGCTGTGGATGTGGAAGGAATGAAGACTCAATATAGGTAATTATTTCTATAATTTAAAAAAAGCCTATTTTTAAAAAAGGCTGGTCAGATTTATGACATGTATTCAGACTTCTAATGATTGGTGTAGAGTTGATCACAGGTATTAAAAGAGAGAACTAAAACATTGGCAATATATCAAAGAAATGTTTAAAATTAATAAATAAATAGGAATAAGTGCACGTTAGTCCTTCTGGATTGGTAAATTAAATGTTAAATTTAACAATTTAATGTTAAATTAGAAGTTAAAAAAACTATATGCAATGATCGCTGGTTTTGTAAGCTCCTAAGGGCAGTCTTCAAGTGGTAGCTGGTTCTTTATTCCTTTTCTTAAGGGCACTGGTTAAATGGGACTAAAATGGTAAACACAGTATTTTCAGGCTTGCAGAAAATACAGTTGAAATTTCTATTATTAGACATTATTTTCCTTTGGAAAATGAATTTAAGTGTTTTATACAAATAAATGATATGTAACAACGAAAAAATAATCCCTGGTTTTATATCAGAGTATTAGAAGAACTGGTTGTAAGATTCTAGCATAAGATTAGGTAAAGAAATGTACTGGAATTGACCCCTTTGTAAAGTAATTTTTAAAAAATGGTAATGAAGATAAAAGAATCTCATTTATATTTGGGGCAGTATGAGCAGATCAATTCTCACAAGACTATAATTACTGCAATAAGCAGCTTCATTAGGTAGATTAGGTAGGATATCTGCATGACACGCAGTTAGTTTGATTTACGTCAAATCTCTTTTGTAGACAAACTTTTAGTACTAAAGTTGGTTGTAACAGTTTTTCATAAATCCTTAGGGTTTTTTGTATTTTTTTAAACATGTCTTATTTTCTTGACTAACTTATGTTTGTTTTTTTGTATTATGGAAGCAGGGTCTTAGCAATTTTATTTACAAATAAATCGGGTGTAGGATTTCCTTCCTACTGGTGCCTAGAGTTGAGAACAGTGGTTCTCCTTGTGCTTTCTTCTCTAGCGAATTGCTACACCCGAGAAAGCACAGACCAGAAGATCAGTCTCTATCAGGTGCTGGTAGTTTCTGTCGTCCATAAGAGTAACTTTGTCTAGTTGAATTCATTAGCTAACCAGTTCCCCCAGATTAGAAATGGGAAATAATTTCTGTATGCTTTTGAAATGGTTGATTTGGGCATGTCTTTTAATATCTAGTGAAAAACGGAGAACAGAGAATATATTGAGGATATTCTTAGATCCTCTTCTGGATGCCCTTATGAAGTTTGGTACAAATGCCTACATGCCCTTGCTGAAAACTGACAGATGCCTCCAGTTGCTGTTGAAGTTATTGCACACTTCCATGTTGAAAGGTTCCAGTACCCAAGATGGTGAGGATAAGTAGTTTCTGTTGGTGTCTTGCTCGGTATGTTGTTGGTATTTAGAATGAGAAGAAATTCCTGGCCTTTTAAAGTAAAAAGAAAACTTTATTCAGCAAATATTTGTTGATTGTCTCCTGGTGGTGCCAGGGATACGGTGGTGAAGGATCAACTCTGCCCTCATGGAGTTGACATTCTAGTGATTTACATGTGTTGTGGTTGTTGATGTTGGAATGCTATTTCATTTACTTTTTTTTTTTAATTTATGCTTGCTTGTTGATTTCTAGACCATTAAAATGATCACTATTTCATACATGTTTAAGCAGCATTCATTTCTAATTGCCACTATGCTAAGGCATGAGAATGGCAATAATTTTATAATTATTTTAAAATACGCTAATCTCGGAGTACCTTTTAAGTAGAAAATACTTCATACAGAAAGTATAGTGGTAGTAGATAGAAACATTGAGCTCACTCTTCTCTTAACTAATATATAAAACAGCAATTGAAAACCCGTGGGCGTCAGAGATGAGAATATTGATGGGTGAACCTTAATTCCCAATCCTTTCTGACCAATTTCATTTGCAGTTTTAGAAATTTGCTACTTAAACATTCTGGAGAAGCATTGATATTAGATTAAACCTGAGAATAATATTGATAAGATTAGATTTCAGTATATGCCTATGAAATATCCTGATATTTTTAATGATAATAGTAGAACCAAATGCTGTGAACATAACAGTAACTTTTTATAAGATTTTCAACTCCTTAAGGGTGTACATTTGAATTCATTTGACACATCTTATTAGTATGCTCAATGCTTAGTGTAGGACTGTGTCACATGTGCCTTTGAAACATTGTTATATTTGATACAAACAAAGGAATGTGTAACGGTTATATGTAAGTTATGATGCAAATTAATTAAACACCTGTGCACCCACTACCCTACCTGAGAACGAATTGACCTGATACTCTCAAGCCTGGTCCTATGACTCTTTGCCTCCCTATTTTGACTTTTATCTGTATCACTTCAGTGCATTTTAGAAAAGAGTTTTTATCACTTGCAGATATTCCTCAACCATATATTGTGTTTTTAAAACCACTTTATTGAGATATGATCAACATGTTAAAAAGCTATATGTATTTAATGTGTACAACTCAATGAGTTTGGGGATGCGTATAGACCCATGAAACCGTCACCCTTAAGGCCATAGACATCTCCATCAGCCCCCAAAGTTTCTTCCTGTCCTGTTACTATCTGTAGTGAGAACACGTGACATAAGATGTACCCTCTTAGCAAATTTTAAGTGTAGGATACAGTACCTGATACCACTATGCTGTGTTGTATAGATCTCCAGAACTTTTGTGCATAACTGAAACGAAGTACTCCTTCACTGTCACCTCCCATTCCATAGGTTTCTTTTTCATTTTGTTGATTGTTTCCTTTGCTGTGCAGAAGCTTTTTAATTTGATGTAATTTCTCTTATTTATTTTTACTTTTTTTGCCTGTGCTTTTGGTGTCATATTCAAAAAAAATCATTCCCAAGACCAATGTCAAGGAGCTTCTTTCTTGTTTTCTTCTAGAGGTTTTATGGTTTCAGGTCTTACGTTTAAGTCATTAATCCATTTTGAGTTGATTTTTGTGTATGGTCTAAGATAAGGGTTAATTTCATTCTTTTGCATGTGGATATACAGTTTTCCCAGCACCAGTTATAGATATTGGCCTTTCCCCATTTTGTATTTTTGGTGCCCTTATGGAAGATTAGTTGACTGTGGATGCAGGGGTTTAACAAATATATTATTTTGTTTTCTTGCTTTTGAGCTTTATAGAAATGGTATCTTACAGTAAGAAGTCTTCTATAACTTTTTTCCCTTAACATGTTCCTAAGATTCATCCATTCCCTTTCTTATACTTCATTGTTTTCCCTGGTGTATAATCTTCTGTGGTGTGAGGATACCGCAGTTTGTGCATTCTTCTATTGCTGGACGTTTGATTGTGTTTAGTTCGTTATGTACAGTGCTGCCATGAACCTCTTCCACCTGTCTGCTGGTGCTTTTGTGTGTGTCTCTCCAGGGTATGTATCCAGGAATGAAATTGCTGGTGGGATAGATATGATAGATACAGCATTTTGTGAAGTGTCTGTTCACATCTTTTGCCTGTTTAGTTCTTTGTCAGATAATGTGTTTTATGAGTGTTTCTTCTAGTCTGCAGCTTATCTTTTCAGTCCATTAGTGGTTTTTACAGAACAAAAGTTTTGATTTCAATAAAGTCTGATTTATTTTTTTGTTTCATTTGATGGATTGTGCATTAGGTATCATGCCTAAGAACTCTTTGCCTTAACCCCAAGTCATACAGGATTTTCTCCTTCCTAAGTTTTATAGTTTTTTAATTTTACTTTTAGATCTATAATACATTTAGAGTTAATTTTTAAAGTGTAGGGTTTAGGTGAAGTTAAATTTTTTGCCTGTGGATGTCCAGTTACTCCAGCACCGGTTGTTCAAGAGAGTATCTTTTCTCTATTGAATGGTTTTATACTTTTGTCAATTGGCCTTGGTGGAAACAATCCAAAGTAGATGGATAGACGAATGGATAAACAGTATGTGGTTTATACATACTCAACCATAAAAGGAGTGAAGTAGTAACACATGTGACAGTGTGGATGAGCCTTGAAAACATTATGCTAAGCCAAAGAAACCGGTCATTAAGGACCACATGTTATATAATCCTGTTTATATGAAATGTCCAGAACAGGCACATCTGTAGAGACAGAACGTAGATTGGTGGTTGCTTAGGGCTGGGAGAAAATGGGGGTTAAGGGAGTGATGGCTTAAAGAGTATGGGATTTCTCTTTGGGTTGAAGTGATGATGAAGTGTTCTAATACTGACCGTGGTGATGATTACACATACGTGACTATACTAGAAACCATTGAATTATATACTTTTACTGGGCGAATTGAAAGTTCTGTGAATTATGTTAATAAAGTTGTTTAAAACTAACTAATTGACTGTATTTGTGTGGGTCTATTTCTTGACTCTTCTGTTCTTTTGATCTATGCATTTATCCATTTGCCAATACCATACTGTTTTGGTGACTATAGATTTATAATAAATCTTAAAATAAGGAGTGTGATTCTCTCAGATTCTTTTTTGTCAAAAATATTTTTAGCTATTGTAGTTCCTTTGCCTTTCAGTATAAATTTTATAATCAGCTTATCTGTATCTACAGAAAAATCATGCTGGGATCTTGATTTGAATTGCATTAAATTTATACATCATTGTGTGAGGAATTGCCTTTTTATATTGAAACTTTTAATGCATGGATATGTTATGTCTCTCCATTTCTTTAGGTTGTCCTTGATTTCTTTCACTGGAGTTTTATAGTTTTCAGCATGTAGATCTTACACAGGATTTATAAGATTTATACCTAAGTATTTCTTTTGGCGGGGGAGGAAATTGTAAAGGATATATTTTTTTAAAGTTTGGTTTTCAACAGGACATTGCTAGTATATAGAAATATGATTGATTTTTGCATGTTGACCTTGTATCCTGTAACCTTGCTAACGTACTTATTAGTTCCAGGAGGTTTTTTTGTAGATTCCTTGGATTTTCTTTGTAGACAATCATGCCATCTATGAATAGGGACAGTTTTGTTTCTAGAGTTGTCCATAGTATTCCCTTATCCTGTTAATGCCTGTGGGGTCTGTAGTAACATCCCCTTTTTAATTCCTGATAGTAGTAATTTGTGTGCACGTGTTCTCTCTCTCTTTCTGCAAGACTTGTTAGTGGTTTATCATTTTATTGACCTTTTTCAAAGAACTAGCTTTTGGTTTCATCAATTTTTCTCTATAGATTTTTCTCTTCAATTTTATTGGTTTCTGTTCTTCATTGCTTCTTTCTGCTTGCTTTTGGTTTATTTTGCCTTTTTTAATGTTAAATTGGAAGCTTAGATTATAGATTTTTGACTTTTTCTTGTTTTTTAAGATGATATTTAAATACTGTAAATTTTCCTCTATTTTGCTTTAACTACATCCCACAAACTTTGTATGTTGCATTTGTAGTTCAAAATATTTTCTAACTGTCCTTGAGACTTTCTTTTTGACCCATGAATTCTTTTAGAAACATCTTTAGAGACTTTCCTGTTATCTTTCTCTTATTTCTTTTTAATTTAATTCCATTGTGGTCAGAGTGTACTTTGTATGGTCTATCTTGGTGACTGTTCCATGTGCACTAGAAAAGAATGTGTATTCTGCTTGTGAGTGGAGTGTTCTATAAATGTCAATTACATCCAAGAGTTTTCCTTTTTGTTTTTTGTTTTTTTAAAGAGAAAGGATCTGGCTCTGTCGCCCAGGTTGGAGTGCAGTGGCATGATCATAGCTCACTGCAGCCTCAAACTCCTGGGCTCAAGTGATCCTCCTGCCTCAGCCTCCCAAAGTGCTAGGATTATAGGAATGAGCTATTGTGCCCAGCCTGTTTACTCCTTCTGTTACTGAGAGAGGAATAGGCTCCAACTATAGTTTTGGATTTATCTCTTTCTTTCTCCTTTTATTTGTCAGTTGTGCTTTATATATTTTGAAGTTCTGCTGTTAGGTGCATGTGCATTTAGGATTTAGTGTTCTTGGTAAGTTGACTCTTTTATCATTATGTCATGTCCATTTTTATGTCTGGTAATTTTCTTTGCTCTGAAATCTGATTTGTCTAATAGTAATATAGCCACTTTTGATTAGAATTTGCATGGTGTGTCTTTTTCTGGCCTTTTCTTCTATTTAGATCATTATATTTGAAGTAAATTTTATATAGAAGCATATACTTGGGCCGTGATTTTTTTATCCATTCTGACAGTCTCTATCTTTTCACTGGTATAGATCATTTGTATTTAATGTAATTATATGTTTGGATTTAGGTCTGTCATTTTTATTTTTTGTATTATGTTTATTACCTCTGTTTTTCGTTTATTTCTTTCCTCTCTTTAGGCAGCTTGAACATTATTTAATATTTTTCAATTTGTCTATTGTATTTTTTTTGGACTAATGTCCAAAGTGTTTTTTTTAGTGGTTGCTTTAGGATTACAGTGTATATACTTAACTTTTTGTAGTGTGTTTAAAGTGATATTTTACCACTTGAAGTGAATGTAGAAACTTTCCACCTTTACAGGTCCCTTTACTCCCCTCCCCCGTCTGTTATAGTTATCTTATATTTTTATTTGTAGAAAACTATCAGGAAATGTTATAATTTTTCCTTTCAGCCATCAAATGAATTTAAAGAACTCATGAGAAAAAAGCCAATTTTTCTATAAAGACCCTATATCTACCTAGATGTTTATGGGATTCTTTTGTTCTTCTTTCATTCCTGATGATCCAGATTTCCCTATGGCACCATATCCCTTTGTTCAAAAAACTTCTTTTAGCATTTCTTTTGAAAGACATTTGTTGGCAATGAATTCTCTCAGTTTTCCTTCATCCAAGCATACCTTTATTTCACTGTCACTTCTGAAGGATATTTTTGCTGGATATAAAATTCTGATTTGATCTTTCAGCAATTTAAAAATGTTGTTTCACTTGCCTCTGGCTTGCGTGGTTTCTCCTGAGAACTTTGTAGTAATTCAGATTGTTCTTCCCCTTGTAGTGTGTCGTTTTTCTCTCCTTTCAGGATTGTTTCTTCATCTTTAGTTTTTAGCAATTTGGTTATGCTGTGTCTGGCTATGAATTTCTTTGGCTCATTCTTTTTGGGGTTTCCTAAACTTCTTGAATCTGTAGGTTTGTACCCTTTAATACCAGATTTGAAAAATTTTCAGCCATTTGTTTATTCAAATATTTTTTCAGCACCACAATCTTCCTCTTCTTTTTCTGGGACTCTGGTAGCATAAAAATTCCATCTTTGTTATTATCCCACAGGTCTCCGAGGCTCTGTTGATTTTTTTTTTCAATCATTTTTCTCTCCATTGTTCAGATTGCATATTTTTATTGCACTATTTTCAAATTCACTGACTCTCCTCTTATATCTGTTCTCTGTGATTAATCCCATCCAGTGAATTTTTTTATTTCAGTTATTATACTTTTCAATTATGAAATTTCTATTTGGATTTTCTGTATATCTTCTGTTTCTTTGCTGAGGTTCTTTGCTGAGACTTTGTTTTTTCATTTGCTTCAAGAGTGTCCTTGATTGCTTGTTGAAGCATTTTTATAATAGCTGCTTGAAAGTCTTTGTCAAATTATTTTAACATCTGTGTCATCTCAGTGGTAGTGCCTGTAGGTTGTCTTTTTCATGTGAGCTGGGATTTTCTTGGTTATTCATGTGCCCAGTAATTTTGGATTATGTCCTAGCTATTTTGGATATTATAGTATGAGACTCTGGATCTTGTTTAAGTCCTGTGGAGAATGTTATTTTTGTTCAGCAGATAGTCAGCCTGTTTAGGTTCAAGCCTCAGATTCTGACCCAGCTTCTGTGGGTGTTGGTTCCACTGTCAGATCTTCTTTTGAATTTTCTTTAGCAGTACTCTTTGAACCTAGGCCACATGTGTTTCATCCAGTGGCCATGCTGGGACCTGGGCAGTGGTCTCTCTTAGTTCAATTCTAAAAGTCTGTGTTCCACGGTTTAGCATTGGATCCATGTATGTGCAGCTTGAGGGGTGAGCCCAGGAGTTTACAAACAGCTTTCTGAGGCCACTGTCCTGCACTCCTCCCTCTCTGGAGTCTCCTCAGTGCTCACTGCTTCCCTGGGCTCATCCTTTTTTGTTCTCTGACCAGAAACCCCGGGCACATTCTGTTGTCCACTTTGCTGACTGCTCCTGCACCTGCTTCTGATTGGTAAGAGGACTGGAGGGAACAAAATTAGTAAACTCGCCTCCGTTCAGCGTTGCTTCTTTCTGAATCCACCTGCTAATAACTTTTACCTTTCAGAGTCTTCAAATAGCCGCTCTGTGCATTCTGTCCAGGTTTTATAGCTGTGCTCAGTAACAGAGGGAGGAGTGACCCTGTGGCATCCTACCCAGAACTGGTACTCCTAAGTGATTTTTAAGGTTACAGATTTCTCCATGGTGCGAATCATTATTATATTATTGGGATTCATTTGTGGCAAGTGATTCACCCATGTGCTTTTACTACAATATCTGGTGTATTTTGTACCAAAGCATTTATTTCTGTCATTTTAGTTGCACACTTTTTTTCCCAAACAGATGAGGTGTTTACTGTTCTTCAGAACTTTGTCATGTCTACTACAGAAAGTATTTCTGAATTTATTCTCAGAAGACTCACTATGAATGAGCTAAATAGTGTAAGTATTCATTGGAGTAACTTTCTTTTTCATTTCTTTCACTTTTTTCACCAATATTTCCGTGATTACTGACTGGCAGTCACTGTATTAAGTTAAAAAGCAAAATTAATTTTTTCAAGAAGCAGCCTTAGGAAACAGGAAAAAAAACTTAGACTCTGGAGTCTCCTACTTGCAATTCTACCTTTTGGGGGAGAGGGGGTTGTGCTTTTGTTTTGTTTTGTTTTGTTTTTTGTGGTTTTTTTGGTGGTGGTTTGTGTTTTTTTGTTTTGGTTTTTTGAGACAGGGTCTCCCTCTGTTGCCCAGGCTAGAGTGCAGTGATGTCATCATAGCTCACTGCAACCTCAAACTCCTGGGCTTAAGTGACCTCAGCCTCCCAAGTAGCTGGGACTACAAGCGCTCGCCACCACACCTGGTGTTCTTTGTAGAGACTGGGTCTCACTATTGCCCAGGCTAGTCTTGGACTCTTGGCCCCAAGTGATCCTCCCACCTCAGCTTTCCACAGTGCTACAATTACAGGTGTGACCCATGGCGCCCAGCGTCCATCTGTATTATTAACTGTGACCTTGGGCAAGTTATGTAGATCTCCTGAGTCTCAGTTTCCTCATCTGTAAAATGGAGATAATATCACATCCCAGGGTTGGGAGAGTTTCAAATGATATAACATATTTGAAGTACTTTGCCCATTCAGTACATATTTGGGCCCCAGATTCAGAGATTCTAATGTGGCGGGTTTGAGATGGGACCTAGGAGTTGGTGTGTGTGTGTGTGTGTGTGTGTGTGTGTGTGTGAGAAAGCTCCCTCAGTGATTCTTAAATGCAATTAGGACTGGGAACAATAGATCTTAGGTGTAAAGGATGCTCTGTGAATGTAGCTATCTTCTCTTATCTCTACATTACACATAATTTATTCTTTTAGGGAATCTAAAAGGAATTAATAAACTTTTCCCCCTTCAAGTATACTTTGAAAACACTAGTTCTTATAGAAATGTCTGTTGATTTTTTTGTTTGAAATCTCTAGGGACAAATGATGTAACAATTTGAATGCTTAGCTTATAAATAAAGTGAGAAAAAGTTCCTGCTTTAAGAACTTTTACTTGAATACCCAATTAAACACATTTGTTTGATAGCTTAAGCAGGTGTGAAAATGTAAAAAGACAGGTTTTATACTGAAAGACTTGCGATTTTATGATAAAAAGATAAGGAAATATAAAGAAGAAATCCTTTAGCTTCCTTAATTCTTATCAAGCAGTTGTTGATAGCAGTTCAAATACACCTGCATTTCCAAAAAGGCATTTAATAAGGAAGTAACTTAGTTTTGCTCTAATACTACTTTATTATCCTCAGTATTATTTTTACCTTTTTATTATGGGAAATTTTCAAAGATACACAAAAGAAGCGTGATGACCCTCCACGTACCCATTATATAACATGTTTTTGTTTGTTTGGATTTTGAAGCTAAAAATAGCTTAAGAAAGGGAAAGTTTAATGTTATTTTATCTTTTAGATGCAAATATTTTAAAAAGTGAATTCAATATATGATAGTTTTAAATTATTTTGGAAAAATCACCCTTTAATAAATTAGGTATTTGGCCAGGTGCGGTGGCTCACGCCTGTAATCCTAGCAGTCTGGGAAGCTGAGGACTACTTGAGCACGGGAATTCGACACCAGCCTGAGCAAGAGTGAGACCCCGTCTCTACTAAAAATAGAAAAATTAGCTGGGTGTGTTGGCGCTTGCCTGTAGTGCCAGCTATTCCGGAGACTGAGGCAGGAGGATCGCTTGGGCCCAGGAGTTTGAGGTTGCTGTGAGCTAGGCTGACACCACAGCACTCTACCCAGGGTGACAGAGCAAGACTCTGTCTCAATATATGAATAAGTAAGTAAGTAAGGTATGTGGCTGGTCCGAGTGCAGTGGCGTTTACAACTGATTGATCACAACCAGTTATAGATTCCTTTGTTCTTTCCCACTCCCACTGCTTCACTTGACTAGCCTAAAATAAATAAATAAATTAGGTATTAGAATTTCCAATTAAGTACATTTGTTTGGTAGCTTAGAGTTTAATAAAAATCTCTTCCCACACTTTCCCCAATGTCAGCAGTGTGGATTGCATCCTCTTCCATTTTCTTCAAGAGTTTACACTATTGCTTGTCTTCCATCTTTCTTTTGTTTTCAGCCTCTCCTTTTCTCCTGATTCTTTTCATGAGCATTTAAACAAATCTAAGGGTCCCTCATTTTGAAAGAACCCTCTCTCAATGTCATGTTCCCTTCTAGCATCCTATTTCCTTCTCTTTAAGTGGACACCTCAATTCCATTCTAATCCGGCTTTTTACCTCTGTTGTAACATTACAGTTGTCAGTGACATCTTCATCATAAACCTAATGGATACTTTCCAAACCGTATTTTTCTTGATTCCTTGGTCCCATGGGACCCCTTAAAGCATCCTTAGCTCCTATGACATCATCCTCTCTCGGTCTTCCTCCACCATCTTTCTTGGTTGTTAGTTCCATTTCCTCTTTGAATGTCCATTCTCTGCTCTCTAGCCTTTGAAGGCAGAGCTCTTTAAAGCTTGGCCCTGGCCCCTTCTTTTCTCATTCTCTACTCTGTCTCGTGATGATTTCATCCACATCCCCAGCTTCAGTTTGGTTAGGGGCCCTCAAATCCCTGTCTGCACCTCAGAGCACCCTTCTGAGCTTAGCACCCTCAGTCGATTGCTCTATGATGACTTGAGTTGGATTTCTCACACTTACGCAGTTCACAGCTGAACCCCCCTGTCCCTTCTCAATGACTGTGCCACCATCCAGCCACTTTCTCAAGCCAGAAACTTGGGAATCCTCCCCGGCACCTTTATCACTCACACCTCTGTTTCATCCATCACCAGGTCTCGTAATTGTTACCCTCCATCTGCATCGTGTCCCAGCACCACGGTGCCTGACATAGAGTGGTTGCTCAGTAAAAACTGATTAAATTAATGGATTGCTTCCTGTGTGCTTTCTGTGTGCCATAGGAGGCCTCCTATGGTATAGTAATAATGTATTGGCACAGTAAGTGTTATAGTAATAGTAATTAACGCCACCACTTAGTGCCAGTCCATTTATCATACTTTCTCTCACTTAATTCTTTGAGAAGCCCTGGCATGGATAGATGTTACTATCTCCATTTTATGGATAAGGAATCTGAGGCCTAAAGAGGTTAAATAACTTGCCTGGTGTCACAGAGCTAATGAATGGTAGAGCTGGACTGAACCCAGTTCTACTTGGGTTTATGAGTCAAAAGGCCTGTATTTAATGCTGCCCCTCCCCTTTACTAGCTCTGAGGTATTGGGCAAGTTGTTCAACCTCTCTGAAACTTAGTCTTGTGAAAGTGGGACAGTGATCTTTGTGATGACTGATTTTTGTAAACAAAGGAAGTGGCAATTGCTGTAATGGTTGTTGTTATTATTTGTGATGTGCTAGCCCTGGCATGTGAGAATTGGTAGAACATAATTTCTGCCACCCAAGGTCCCATAATCTAGGTGGGGAGACCTATGACGCAATTGTGAAATGTGCTATAATTGTGCCAAATTCCAAATCACTGTGTAAGCACAGAGAAGGAAGTCCTTCGCTCTACATGGGGAGATTATGGAAGGCTGCTTGGAGAAAACGACTTTTTCTGTCATCAGTGTCTTCTTTTAGTACTTTTAAATAAACTTATTTCCTGCCCAAATGCTTGCAGTTTTGTGAAAATTGTGGACCTTGCTTGTGCCCTGAAGTGTGTTAATGTTTGTCTCAGGTTTCAGATCTGGACCGCTGCCATTTGTACCTGACAGTGTTAACTGAGCTTATAAATCTCCATTTGAAGGTTGGGTGGAAAAGGGGTAACCCCATTTGGAGAGTTATTTCTCTGTTGAAAAATGCATCTATTCAGCATCTTCAAGAGATGGACAGTGGACAGGTAAGCCTTTTTGGTTCAAGGTTTGTATTGATAAGTTATGTTGAATAAGGTATACATGGAATACATATTCACTTGTTATATAATATTTTGATATCATAAAAACGATTTGCTGAAAGTCTGTTTTTAAAATAGTACCTTCTGGTGATAAGGTGTGATTCACATTGGTTCTCCTATCATAATATTAAACATATAACAGAGGTGTAGTGACTTCAATCTTAAAATCATTTAGATTCAGACAGTGTGCCTGTACTAGGTCTTTGGCCAAAGGTGTCCAGTAAAGGTCACTTTCGTCAGCCTGACATCAGAGCCTCCCGTGCTTAGCTTCCTGCTTCGTTTTCTAGCCCAGTTGTTCCCCGCCTTTCCTCCTCCTCTCCACAGTGCCCCCGTGCCGCAGCCACTGGAGGGAACCGCTTAGAGTTTCACTTGTCACAAGCGCATGCCATGTCTTCCTCATCGAGGCTGTCGTTCAGCCTGGTCCCTCCACCGGGAATAAGTGCTTCTGCTCCAGTGTGCACTCGCCAGTATCTGGTCCCCCCTTTACGGCCCAGCTGAAATCTTCTCTCTCAGAGGTCTTCTTGGATCCGGGTCTCTCTCATTCCTTCATTTTCCTACTGCTCTTCATGCCTCCATTAACGTGTGTATTTCCATCTTTCTTGTTTTTGGAGTGATTTATGTATATATGTCTTCTCTACTAGATTTTAGCACCTGGAGGCATTTTTTTTTTTAAACATAACACAATAAGGTTTAGTGTTGACGAGCACAGGGTTTAGTGTTAGACTTGCTGGGTTCGAATCCTGGCTTTATCCTTGCTAACTTGTGACCTTGGGGAAATTACTTAACCTCCCTGTGCCTTACTTACTGCACCTACAAAATGGGGATTATAGAGTTGTTGATGTAGGAATTACAGCAAGCTCATGTATGTTAAGTCTTTAGAACGGTGCTTGGCACATAGAAAGTCCTCAGTAAATGTTAGCTATTTTCACTTAACACATGGTTAATGTTGAATAAAGTTGAACTGAATCGTAGTCTAACTAGTTTGCACTATTAATAAAAACAAAGAAGCTACTTGATTGTTTTAATAATTTAATTTTTGTATCCTAAAAGGAAACTATCATAAAAGGAAATGATAAAGAAGATAATTAATATTTCAGCATTCTATCTAGTACCTATTAGTCTGCTAGTGTTATGAAAGAGCATTGTGAGTTTTAAATGTAAAACAAAATCATGAACCATTCCACAGTAATTCTTATTCTTAAATTTGGCTTTCTTTAGTAAGTCACTGAATTGCATTAAGGTTAACAGGGACCATAGTTGGCTCAAAGGTAACACTAAATATTATTTCCTATGTTGGCAGTGTTGATATGTAAAATTTATCCGTAAGATATGGTTGATTTATTTTTGTGGAGTTGGGGTGTATGGAATAAGAAGTAGAAAGTTCCTTTCTGATAGGGATGTTACTGGTTGGCAATATTTGAGAGAATTGCTATGGTTTCTCAGTACAGTCATTTACTGGGTCTAGGTTCTTGTCTGTATTCCTAGTTTGGATTGTTGATTTTCTCATTACATATAAATTCAGCTGTCTTAGTTACCCTCCTCTGTGTTCCTACATGTAAAGTTTCAAGTGTTTTGCATGAAATAACCCATTTGTTTTATCTTCAAAATAACCCCGTGATTCTATTACTGTCCCCATTTTACAGATGAGAAAACTAAGGCATAGTATATCCATACTTACACTGGTAATGGTGCAGAGCCAGAATTCAGACCTAGGCTATGTGATTCCCGGGTATAGCTCTTAAACTAATGTTACATGACCTCTCCAAAGGGATATGTAGCTAATTGAAGGAATTATTTGTAACCTGGAGCCTTTTTTGTTTTCTTTAAGACACAGGGTCTTGCTTTGTCACCTCAGCTGGAGGAGAATGGCTCAATCATAGCTCATTGCAGTCTTGAACTCCTGGGCTTAAGCAATCCTCCCACCTCAACTTCCCAAGTAGCTGGGACTACAGGCGCACACCACCGTGCCCAGCTAATTTTTAATTTTTTTTTTTTTTTTTTTGTAGAGACAGGATCTTGCTATGTTGCCCAGGCTGTTCTCAAACTCTGGCCTCAAGTGATCCTCCTGCCTCAGCCTCCAAAAGGGTTGGGATTATAGGCATGAGCCACCATGCCCGGACCTACCTTTTTGTTTTTTAAAAAATGTGTTTCAAACATGCAATTAAAGTAAGACCTACCCATAGAAACTCAAAGTGTATATGTGACTAGGAAACAGGTTGAGAGGTGCTTATCCACATACACCTTCGGGTTCTGTATGTAACGAGCATGTCATGTTCTAGTTGTAGGAACCCACTTGCCAAATGAAGAGATCAAATTGTCTTAATCTGAATTGCTGAGTTCTTACTGCTGTTTGAAATTTGTTCACTGTAGAGAAGCCAGTCTGTAGAGAAGTAGCAAAACTGAATGGTGTGTGTTAGATTTCCTTTTATTTCTCCTGATGTTCAGGAGCCAGGTAGGAAGAGGGAGAATGGGGGCTTGAGCTTCCCACAGACTGGCAACTTAGGTCCTTACTGATTAATACTGCTTATGTTAAATAAAAGATTGTTGTTTTTCCTCCACAGGAGCCAACGCTGGGGAGTCAGATTCAGAGAGTAGTTAGTATGGCTGCCTTGGCCATGGTGTGTGAGGCCATTGACCAGAGGCCTGAACTACAGCTGGATTCTCTCGATGCCGGACCCATGGAAAAGTTCCTTTCCTCTTTTCAGCTCAATCAGACGCTGCAGAAGCCCCGTGTAGAGGAGCAGAGCAGGTGTGCTCACCCCTCAGAGTAGAACAGTTATAAGAAAGACTAAGGTTTAAAAGTCCATTTCGTTGTTGTCATTGATTGGTGATTGCCCAACATTGATCCAGAGTTTCAGAATTTTGGAGATGAGGCTCCGTTCAGGATGAAAATGTATTATCATATTATTCATCTCTGTTATTGTCTTTATTACTTTATTATCTGCTAACTTTTCTGCATTTAGTTTTCAGTGAATCATTTAAGGTGAGAAAAAGCGCCTACTTCAGGGTAGTTAGAAAATTGAGGTTTTATGAAGTTTCCTAATTTTTTGGTGGATAGGATATTTGATAAAGACTGTTTATATCTGTTTCCCCCCTTGTAAGGATAGTGTACTACATGTAAAAGAAATGGAGAGACAAACTTGGGGAAGTATGGTGTAGTGACTTTATTTTGTATTTCAGTTTTTTTGAAGAATCGTCGTCTTCCCAAGGATGGGGGAAAATAGTTGCACAATATATCCATGATCAGTGGGTGTGCCTCTCCTTCCTGTTGAAAAAATATCATGCCCTTATACCAGCCACAGAGAGTGAAATTCTGGAACCCTTTCTGCCTGCCGTTCAAATGCCAGTAAGGACTTTGCAGTCTGCACTAGAAGCCCTCACAATCCTCCCTTCTGATCAAGTTCTACCAGTGTTCCATTGCATGAAAATTTTGGTTCCCAAGGTAAGGTATAGTGAAACATGAATTGAAGAATATCTATAGGAGTAACAATCAAAATTTCTGAAAATAAATAAGTATGTATGTATTTTTTTTTTCCTCTACCAGCTTCTGACCTCCTCTGAATCACTCTGCATAGAGTCTTTTGACATGGCTTGGAAAATTATATCTTCTTTAAGCAACACTCAGCTGACATTCTGGCCTAATTTAAAAGCTTTTGTTCAGTTTGTTTTTGATAACAAAGTTCTCACCATTGCTGCAAAAATCAAGGGCCAGGCATATTTCAAAATAAAAGAGGTAACCTTCTTTTCTTTTTACTTTGTGTAACCTATAGCCCATGAGGAAGAAGAGAGTTGTGCTTGTAACTAGGTATTAGATTTGTCATTCTTTATTCATCCAGTCAACACGTATTTTTGAGCCTTCTTAAATGTCTTGAGTGAGAGTGAGAACACCTGATAGATGTAGAAGGAGAGGTGCACAGTGGTGGCCCACGAGCCACATCTGCCTCTCAAACATGCCTTGGTTCATATATAAAATTTTGAGTTAGTGGGCAGCTTTTAAGAATTGGGAAATCTGTATGAAGATGTGGGGCCCCTTCTCTTGGAAAATTAGATAATCTAGCAACACTAGCCATTCCTACGCGATGATACAGTCGAGTGCCTGGCGTTGAGTAGGATCTGGCATGCTCTTTCCACAGGCAGTCTGATTTGTCCTGGATACTGAAGGCACATGTCAGGTGCCATTTGTCATTGCACTTAGGCAGGGTTTATCTCTTATGTAGAGAGATGTTTCTTTGAATATAACCTGTATCAAAAGGTCTTGCTGGTGTCTGGAGGTATTTGCATTTGCAGCCACTGCTACAGTAGGGAACATAACAAGATGGAATCCATCATGCCTAGGAATTCAAGGGTATCTTCTGATCGAAAGGGGAAGACAAAGAGTCAAATCCTTTTGTTACCCTGCTGGCCTGTGCTGCCCGTCTCGGTCCTTTTTTGCCTATAGTACATACTCAGACCGTGGTCTTTGCTGCCTCAGGCAAAGGGAGGCCCACTGGCGAAATGCAAAGGAAACTGAAAATATGCAGGGTGAGGTGTTTTTTCTTCTCTTTCCTTTTACTACTTTGGGCAGTTGTTTGTCTTGAGTATTTCCAGATGGATATCACTATTACTAAAATTAGATTTATTTTTATTGAGATGAAAAATTAGTATTCTGTGCTTATTGATCATCTTGCAAAATTTTTCTAACAATAATGAATTTTAAATCTTTCAGACTATTGATGGAGTTGAAACTGTGATATAAAACAATTCAAGTAACAATTAAGCAACACTAATTTTCTTTAAATTGGTTAAAGGATTAAATGACCATTGTGTTTCATTACAGATTATGTACAAGATAATTGAAATGTCTGCTATAAAAACTGGAGTCTTCAATACACTGATAAGTTACTGCTGCCAATCTTGGATAGTGTCTGCTTCAAATGTGTCACAAGGGTCTTTATCAAGTGCTAAAAATTATAGCGAACTTATCCTTGAGGCTTGTATATTTGGAACTGTGTTTAGGCGTGATCAAAGGTAAAAGATGCTGTTATTTCCACTGGCCATAACTTATATTAAATACCTACTCAAGTAGAATTGTGTCTTTGTTTTGAGGCTTTCAATTGGAAGAATATAAATTATTAGTTAACTTTAAACTTAAGGCTTCTTTTTCCTATTTAAAACCTGTTGTTCTTTATCAAATTTTTTTTATGAAAAGACTTATTCAGGATGTACAGACCTTTGTAGAAAATCTTGGACATGACTGCGCAGCAAACGTCGTTATGGAAAAGTAAGTATGATAGATTTTCTATGTCTTGACATAAATGAGATATTGAAAACATAAAGACATTCTGTATTTGTTGCATTTAATAAATGTCTACTAGTGGTATCTATGATAAGATATTGGATGTGCCTTCAAAAGTATGTTATAAATTATATTCCCATGCTAATTTTTTTTTGCATATTTCACTATTTACTAAAATTTGATAAACTTTAAAAAAAATTTCAGTGCAGAGTCCAGCATAAATAAGAATGAGACTGTGGAGAACACAAAGCCCCTGTCCCTTGTCTTTCTGGGGGAGGGGTGATCGTCAGCACAAATACTTATTTCTCATTTCTTTCTTTGGCTGTAAAATTTAACATGCAATTAAAATTCACCATTTAACAAGTCAGTATGTTACACACAAAAATAGAATTACTCTTATGACAGGCCCTAAAGTTTTTAGTTTGTTTAAAACCATTTTATTGAGCTATGATTGACATGTAAAAAGCTGTACATTTTAATGTATACAACTCGATAAGTTTAGAGATAGGCCCTAAAGTTTTTGATTTCTGGGATAACACTATTCTTATCTAACCTGTGAATTAATATTTTTGGAACATGTCAAGTAGCTTTTTTTCAAGTTTTATTTTTTTCACATAGCTTTCAAAAATTTGTTTATAAAGAAGATAAAAATAGTGTTGTATCATTCACTCTGATTTTAGAATTTGGGACAACAAATGATTATAACGTGTATTTATCATAAAGTGTTGATTATTCTGAGTCCTCGCTGTGTTTTAAATCGTCTGTCATTCTTCATTAAACATATACCTTTTTTTCATTAATTATTTTAAATTTATTTATTTATTTATTTTGGGTTGGTTTAGTGTAGCAATGAAAGTGAAATTTTCTAGTTGGTGGTTGCCAAACACTTTGATTTCTACTAGGCAGCTGCTTTGTTGTTAAATTAAAGTGGTGTTTATTCATATTATAACAGCTATAATGAAATGTGGAAATACTTATCAAATTCACTTGATTTATCTTTCTACATTTGAATACTGAAAATACTGGGGTGTTCAGAGCACACGGTGCTTCCTGAGTTTGCACCTCGCTTAGAGAATATGCGTTTATAGTATGTAGTAAAGATAAGCCGTTGAGATGTTTGATGCATATTCTTACCCCCTGAGTGAACAGAGGTATCTGTGGTCCTCTTTCAGGAATAGTGTCATGAGCTATGTTCTGTTTTGTCCACACATAGTATTGGCCCAGGATCAGTAGTATGTACCTTGTTTTTCCAGAAGTCTGGATGAATTTGTGCTCATTCATACTTTCTGAACAGACCCTCCTTTTAACATACTCGTTTGTAATCTATCTATCCTCAATTTAAAAATCTTACCATTAAGCATGGACCTACTCAATTTTAGAAAATGTTGGAAGGTCTTGATATTTGTTATACTCGAAACTAATATTTGGTGTTATCTTTCTATTTTAAAAATGTATTAACATGGTTTATTATTTAATATTTTTTAGTACTAAAAGAGAAGACCATTATGTGAGAATTTGTGCTATCAAATTTCTGTGTTTATTAGATGGCTCAAATATGTCCCATAAGTTGTTTATGGAGGATCTTACAATCAAGCTATTAGATAAAGTAAATATGCTTTATTTTACTTTGAATTATCTTTGTTTTTAACAAGTCCAACATTTGTTCTTTATGTTGCTAGTATATGTATTTCTAAATATTTTTTATCAGGAGAAAACGTGAAGTTTATGTTCTATATTTTTAGTTAAATCTTGGTTAGCAACTGTCCAACTCAAATTTGGTTTTAGAGAACAATAGTGTTTTTCCTATACCATCTAAACTTCCCTCTGTGTATTTCCCAGTTCCAGTCAAAACCAGTTTAGAGTGCTATATCCCTGCATTGTTTTATATAAGAAATGAAATAAAAAGGTAAAAATTAGAAGGCGGCATAATGTTAAGCATTGATTGCTCTTATTTCAGAGTTCATGAAAGATTACCTCAGGATTTGCTTCTAATGCAATATATCATTATATCTAGATGTGGGTTTATGATGTTTATCTAAAATTGATGAAAATTTCTCATTCATTTAGATAAAAATAATCCAATTGGGGTTTTGGGGGAGCCTGCTGAATCTTTTCTAAATGAACATTGCAGTGTCTGAAGAATAGGTTTAGTAAATCTAGGGAAAAGACAGAAAAAGGGTAAAGTCAAGTATAATGCTCTATTCTCGTTTTAATCTTTAAATGACACGTAGAATCTGAAGCTGAGATAGTTGGAGTGTTTGGACTGCTTTCTAACCTGGGTTTGAACACTTGGGTAACAATAGAACCCACTTAAGTCACTGTATTAAAACAAGAATGTTCTTCATGTTTGTTTTTTGAAGGTAGCGGATCAGCTTTATTGTGTAAAAACGTAGGAAGTATTTTTTATGCAAAAATTCCCTCCTCTGCACTGTGTGAGTCAGGGAAGATGTCCCAGAGGGAATAGTATTTGATTGGTTTTCTAAAGGATGAGTGGAATTTAAAGTGGTAGGAGCTGGATATTCTATCACATAGAAGAAAAATACATATTATAATGTATATTTAGCTGTTTATAATAGATAGGGGGTCAGGGACTGCCTTTCTCTTCAGGTGACATTTGGAAGGTAGAAGGACACCAGGAGAGGACGTTTTCGGGAGCCCAGGTGATGAAGACAGTGCTGCCTGGAGGACAAGCAGGCTGCGGATTGGCCATTGGATTCTGCTGTCATTGGTCACCCCAACAAAAGGCATTTCAGCGAAGTGGTGGAATGAGAACCCAAATAGAATGGGTTGAGAAGAAAACGGGGGGTTGAGCGAGTGGAGACAGTGAATATGGGCACTCTTTGGAGTTTGCTCTGAGAAAGAAGGAATAAAGGGGACAGTTCCAGGAGGGGACATGGGGTTAAGGAAGAGGATTTTGAGAGATGGGGGATAATTAGAGCATGTTTGTATGTTGAGGGAAATGATCCAATAGAGAGCAGAAAATGATAATTATGGAGAGGCCAACAGTGATCGCACAGGAAAAATCTTTTACTAGCCACTTAAACCCTCTAGGATGGCTATTAAGAAAAACAAACTAAAAATAAGTATTGGTGAGGATGTAAAGAAATTGGAGCCCTCATACATTGCTGGTAGGAAAATAAAATGGTGCAGCTGCTTTGGAAAACAGACTTGTAAAAGCAAAACGCTTGTCTAGCACAGTAATGCTTGAAGCGTGTTCTCTGGACCAGCAGCGTCAGCATCCCTGGGGAACTTGTTAGAAATGCATATTCTTAGGCCCCACCCCCAAACTCGGGAGTGGTGCCCAGCAATCAGTGTTGTAAGGCGATTCTGGAGCCCGTGGAGTTTAAAAACCACTGGCCTGGCGGTAATGAAAGCCCAGCTACAGCTGGCACGCACACTGTTAATGACGTCAGTGGTGACAGGTGATTTTTCTTTTGTGCAGCAGTGCCTGGCAACTTGAAATAAGGATCAGAAAATTTAATACCCCTGGGTTGGTTCAGAAGTAGGGAATTTGCAAAGGGCCTTGAGGTTATAGAGAAAAGAACTGATTGTGCTCTTGAAGGTCTTGTAGAGCTTCAGGAAGCTCATGAAACTAGGAGGGAAAAGAAAGATATTTCTGAATAAAGGAGCACACTGAGTGGAACAAGTAAATGGACAGAAGATTTTGAGCTGAAAGAGGAATTTTAGCACTTCCAAGTGAGGACAGTGACTCGGTAAGGTCCTCATGGCAGGCTTATTGATGTGAAGATGCTTCCTCTGACTGCATGAGCGATCTACCCTCGTGATTCCATTTTTAGTTGCCTTGAGATTGAGCAGTATATGAAACGAAAACACACCTGTATAAGAGAAAATATCCCAAAAGAAATAATGGTAATAGAGGAGGTTATGAGATTTTAGTCATTGTCAGTTGTCATTAAAATCTATATTAATTTAGCTATGAAGTTATAAAACTCAAATGCAGAGAATGAGATGGAAGAAGAAAAATCACAGAGAAGTTATGAAGTAGATGATGATCATCTACATTGTGCGAAAATGGTTTTTAGAGGTGGTGAATGACTTACTTTTGCACCTTTAAAGCATTTGAAAATGTTAACACACTGTTCAGTGCGATCTTGGCTTCACGGCTAACACACTAATAGTTAACGGAAACAAAAGCAAACCTTGCAGTTGGCTGAATGTAGGTAGCCCAAACCACTGAAAGCCAGGGAGAGCTTAGCGCTGCCATTTTCTTGTGTCGAGAAACAGCATTGTACTGTCCACGTACTGGGGTGGCTGCTGTCTTAGTGGCATTTGCATCAAATTGCAGATACTGCTATTCCAAATTCTAATAAGACAAAGAAGCTCAAAATGAGAAGTGCTTGTATGGTGCGTGGTAATATATGTCAGATATCTCAATCTCTTTTTGCCCCATGACCCCGTATCTCCCAGTTCTATGGTCCCTTTTCTAATTTTAAAAGCAGATAAGTTGAACAAAAGCAACTAAGTTCAGTGTTTTGAAAAGAGATTATAAAGTGTCATTTCTTGTTTTTCTTATCCTCACTGCTATTTGGATGACAGTAAGGCCCTATACCCAATTTAAGCCTTTTACATTTGAAGTTGTTATTAATTTTGTTTTCATTAATCATAATACAGTAGATATTTAATATGGATTCCCTCCTTTCTCCCTCCAGGATGAATTGGTGTCCAAGTCCAAAATTAGCTACTATGTGAATTCTCTACAACACAGAGTGAAAAACCGAATATGGCAGACGCTACTGGTACTTTTCCCCAGATTTGATCAGGTATACGATTTATTATATTCTTACCTTTTTAGCATAACATTTCATATGAATAAACTATTTTGTAGAAACCCCATCATGTGCTGTTTTAAAATTGAAAAAGTAATCTGTTTAAAATTTATGCTTCAGCTCTTAAAATGAAAGTTTTTTAAATAGAATACTAAGACTAGTATGTATTATAGAAATAAATCGAAATCTGTTTTACATAGCCCCTATTTAATATTTTTCCCCTTCCACATTTTAATATAACATTTTAACTGTTTTAAAGTCTCGTATGCCATTTGATTAGAAATGTAAATACTTCATTTCCCACACCTAAGTTATTTTGAAGTGTTATTGTTTTGGATTGTCTGTACTGTAGAAACCAGGCAAGTTCCATCTTTTGGAGTGGGATTATTGTTGCCCACGGTGGAGTTTCTTGCCCTTAATTTTGTGAATAGTGTGTGCATACAAACCAACGAAGCAAAGTCTCTTATAACAGAGTCTCTTTATCCAAAGTTACCTTTTCTTTTCCCTGAGGAGGGAAGGAACAGTTGAATGGACTGTCTGATTTCTCTTACCATCTTTGCATAATAGTCCTGTTAAGAAAATAGATCATCGTTATGACCAAGTGAGGGTGTGTGACTCATGCAATTTTAAAAAACATTTTTGAATGCAAAAAAATTTCCTCAGGCTTTAATGTTTTCTGCTGTCCTCCCCACCCTCTTTTAAATGTTTGAGAGAATTTAAAAAATATATCAGCCTCTTTTTCATTACAATTTTATGAGTCATCTGAGAGAGAGAAACGTTTTGGTAACAATGTAAGTGTATAAGTGATAAATCGAAGAGGAACAGCTGAAAGAGTTGCGTCTGGGGAGTGGCGTGGGTGGATGTGTGGTGGGGGCTGCTGTTTTTCACCACAGGTCTTTCAATGCTAGGTAGTTTTTAACATACATCTATATTATACTTCATTAAACATAAAAAGGTATTTAAAAAAAGAAACATTTTAGAAATGCTTTACTGGGTTATTGAGAACATTTTCTCTTGGAATGGAGAGGTCTCCAGAGAAGGGTAACGCTGGAGAGAGGGTGGGGAGACGTCTGAGCAGGTGGGCTACACGGAAGAAGGAAACTGGCACGTCTGTTACGGAGCAGCCTCTGCTAAGAGTTTTAAACTGTTACATCTTATGGTTTCATTTAACCTTTATAGTAGTCTTTCAAGACAGGCCATAAATATCCTCATTTTACCTGTAAGAGCACCACAATCAGAGAGATTAGGAGAGCTGCCTGTGTGGTAACAAAACTAGTGAATGGCAGAGATGGAATTCAAATTCAAGTCTAACTACGAAATTCACGCTCCACTTTACAACACTGTCTCAGGGCTTAAAATGGCCTGAGACCTGCTCTCTGAGATTTTGTCCCCCCGCCCCACCACTGACCTCAGCCTCTGTGCTGCCCTGTGTTCTGAGTTTAAGCCCTGGCATCTTGGCAGATCTTGATTTAAATCTGAATTCTGCCACTAAGTATATGACTTTGGGAAAGTTAGTCAATTTTTCTGAGTCTTTCCTTTGCCTGTAAAAATAAAGATGACAATAACCTTCCTCACAGAATTGATATCCAAGTAGATTGTAAAGTACTCAATGAAAGTACTTCTTCATCATATTTAAGTCAGCAGTTTTTGGTGGCCTTGCTTGGTGAGTTGTAGTTTCAATAAATTACTTATGATAACTTTAAGCTAGTTTTTAAATGGGGTCTGTTTTATTTTTTAACATTAATAACCGTAACAGTTTAATTTGTGAATTTTATTTTTCTCAGAACTTCATGACTGGAATTATTGACAGGATTTTCCAGGCTGGTTTCATCAACAATCAAGCGTCTGTAAAATATTTTATAGAATGGCTTATTATATTGATTCTTCATAAATTCCCTCAATTTCTTCCAAAGTTCTGGGATTGTTTTTCTTATGTAAGTAAAGGACATTTTTCATATTTTTTTAAATTAAGAAATGATTTTGACTATGCTGGGAGATTTGTTTCACTTGAAGAGTTGTTTTTGACTCTCAGTTGCCCTAATGTATTCACACCATAAGTTACATTTTGCAAGATCTGAATTAATTTAGGAGACACAAATACCTGGCATTCATCTTGAATATATTATAGTTTTTATTTGAGGGCTGTTTGTTCCAACAAAATAAATACGGAAAAGGCTTTTGTTGGGGAAATAGGTGCCTGCTATACTATTATTTACTAAGCAATGTCTTTGATGTTAGAAGTACAAATGATGAGGAATTAAATACATTCCTTACATTAAAAAAAAAACCTTTTCGGGAGGGAAGTTTCAAACATAATGTAAGTAGAAAGAATAAAAGGGAATTCCCATTACCAAGCTAAAGACAGTATCGACTCATTTCCATTCTTGTTTCATCTATACCCTCACCCTTTCACTTAACTCTCCCTTTCCTGATATTACTTATATCTTGAAAATCATTTCTAAGGAACCAGTACTAAGATCAGTGATAGATTTTATCGTTGCAGGCTTCTTGACAAATACTCAATTGTACCTAAACATCAGTTCTAAGTATTTCCCTTGAATGTTTTGTTTTTGGTTCCCAAATTCACCCTTCCCTTTTCTTAATAAATGATCTTCTATTTTGTGTGAAAATGGAGGTGCCTTCCTCAACATCTCTCTTTTTCTGTTTCTTCCCTTTCAGTTTCAGGGGAAGAAATCCTTACGCTTTTTTCACATCTATCCCTGCAACCTTGTATCTATCTCCTTTGGGACTGCACTCTCCGAATCCTTCTCGCTTGTCCTGTTGATGTGTTCTCCACCCAGCCGTTGTCCTAGTTCTTCTTTTCTTTACCGTTAAACTTTGAGATTGAGGGATCTGTGCCTTAAACCGCTGTGGTCCGCCACGTTTTCAGCAGTGATACGCTGAGGATTTCATCTGCAGCTGCAAACTATTTTCTTTTCCTCCATCCCCTCCCTGTCATTTCACGCCTTTCACATTGGCAGTGGCTCTCCCTGCAGCTGATCATCACACTGTGGTCTATGCCATAGTTCCCTTCCTGTTACGCCCATGACTTCTGTTTCCTTCGTGTGCTTCCTTTCTGTCTCCCAACCCTTACGCTTGGTTTTATCTGAAGAATTGTTATCTGCTTCTCTTTCTGCACTGCCTTAACACTATAAACCCCATCTGTTCTGGGTCCCTGCTTCTCCGCCACCTATGAGACCTTTTCCATAATCACGTCACATTTCATCCTGTGTTAAACTAATTGATAATAGCGTCTTTCCTTAAAATTGGCTCCTTTCTGATGTCCTTCATTTTCCCAGTCTCCTGGCTTGAAACCTGGGTGTCATAGCAAGCAGCAGCAACAACAGCATCCTCACAGTAATTCTGAAAGATAGGTTGGGGTTTTTACATCTTACTTGTGAAGAAACTGAAGATTAAGGCATTTGTCATGGCACCAAGAAATGGCAAGGCTCTAATTCAGATGTCTGTTTAAGCTCAAATGCTGTATTCCTTTTCACCTATTCCAAGCTTCCTCTGGCTTTTCCTTCTCCTTTTCACACATAATGAGGAAAACTATTCTGTCATTTTTCCTTACATTGCTTCTCAGATGCATTCCTTTATTAACCTAGTTGTTCATGCCTGCTCTTACGTGGGTAAGCACTGCCTCAGAAACGCTCACAAAGGGCAGGCTGGTTCCAGTGTGATTCTAAGATACCGTGACGTGCATGTGTCCACAGGAGTGCCAGAGATTTTATTAAGTTCGTTTCTCGCTTGTCATTAGACTTTGTATATTCCCTGCAAATCTCTGATTTTTCCTGTGGACATCAGTCAAAGTTTTTAGTTGTAGGCAAAGGAAACTTTTCGTGATGGAATCAAAAATGGACTCAGAAAAAATAGTAAGGGAGTAGGGTGTTAGGTAGCTTACATAATTGCCCGGAAAGCTATGGTGTCATAGCTTGGAAAATTGGCAGGAACAGGGGGGACAGCCCAACAGCTTCCAGAACTGCAGCCACAGGCAGGCCGTAGAGCTGGTCCACTGGGGACATTACCCATTGGACACATGGTACCATCACAACAAGGCTGTGGCCATAGCCAACTGTATACCTGCTGCCTCTGCCTCCTGCAGTGGAGGTGGGTACTCTGTGGGCTCTGCTTCTCTAGGTTATGAGTTCGCAATGAAGAATTTGGGGAGGTGTCTCTGGAACCAGGTCAGGTGCCTTCTTGTTAGTGTCAGGGAGGCTGAATATCTGGCATTTTCAGCTTGCCCAAAGTGTCATAAGGTGGGAGAACTCCCTAAACTTGGAAGGGAATTCACAATAGATAATCAAGGAAAGGACAGTTGTCCGTTACATGCTTTTCCTCCTTTATGTGGAACAGATGACTTTTTTTTTTATTTTTTAAGAGAAAATTGATCATATAGCAATACCTGTATCTTCTCAATAGCAGTCATGCAGCTCTGCGTATGTCAGTATCCATCAGAGGTTTCTTCCCTCCTTTTACTGTGAAGGACCTGAGTCTTCACCTGTTCAGGAGTAATTTTTCTGCTTGCTCTCTGGCTCCTCTTCCCTCCTGCCTTCTTAGGAGCTTTTTGCCGTCAGTCTTTTTTCTGTCCTCAGTCTCTCCTTCTTAACCAAATGGTTCTGTTGGATTTTATTTTTTTATTTATTTTTATTTTTAACATATTCAAATCTCCTATATTTTTTTTTTTTTTTTGAGACAGAGTCTCACTCTACTGCCCTAAGTAGAGTGCTGTGGCATCAGCCTAGCTCACAGCAACCTCAAACTCCTGGGCTCAAGCGATCCTCCTGCCTCAGCCTCCCGAGTAGCTGGGACTACACGCATGTGCCACCATGCCCGGCTAATTTTTTTTATATATTTATTTTTAGTTGTCCAATTAATTTCTTTCTATTTTTAGTAGAGACGGGGTCTCGCTCTTGCTCAGGCTGGTTTCAAACTCCTGAGTTCAAACAATCCGCCCGCCTCGGCCTCCCAGAGAGCTAGGATTACAGGTGTGAGCCACCGCGCCCGGCTTTCATTGGCTTTTAAAGATGCTCAAGTATCATCCATTTTTTATGGATAGACTGGATATTTTCTCATCCTTCTCTTATAATCACCCTGTCTGTATACTATTTCACAGACATCCTGAAAGAGGTATCCATGTTCCATACTTCCAATTTTTCACATTCTTCCCAACCCTCTCTTCAATCCCTTGTAGACCAGTTTCCAGTTCAGTCACTTCTCAGAAGACACTGTTGCTAGAGTCAACAGTGACCTGCATGGGTCAGGTGTCACCCTTCATCATCTTCTCTTAGCCACATTCACGCTGTTGGTGATTTCCTTGTTCTTGGTTCTAGTGACACTCTCCTCTTCCTCCTGTCTGTCTTCTCTCTTTTCTGTGTCCTTTCCAGGACATTTTCTTTTCCTTCCTGCCAGCCTGTTATTTAATAAATGTTAGTGCTTCTGAAGGGCTAGCTAGGCCTTCTTTTTTCTTTATTTTCTCCTCTTTTGATAGTCAGTCTTATCTATGTCATGGATTCGCTGATTGCCTGATGTGAATGACTCACAAATTTATATTTCTATTCCACACGTCTTCCCGTAAGCTCCAGCTCAAGGGTTGGCAAACTACAGCCAGATTTGGCCTGGCAGAGTTTTACTGGAACACAGCCATGCACATGTGTTTCCATACTGTCTGTGGTGGACTTGAGCAGTAGCAGCAGAGACGCTGTGGTTTGCAAAGCCATGTTATTTACTTTCAGCTCTTTACAGAACAGGTTTGCTGACCCTTGCTGTAGACATACCCTCTGAATGTTTATAAGTCATCTAAAACTTAGATATTCAACATCAGGTGCCTTATTTTTTCCCCCAAACTTGATCTTCCTACCGTAGTGGACAGTACCATCTTCCTACTGTAGGGAACAGTACCAGCATCTATACAGTTGCGCAAACCAGAAATCTCGACACTTTTCGTGTTCTGGGTCTGATTCATGACCAGGTGCTGTTGATCTCACTGCCTGAGTATTTCTTAGTTATCTGTCATCTGTCTCTGTCATTGTATCTTGGTCCAAGCTCCTGTTGTCCATTGTGGTGGTTTCCTCACGGGGCTGCCTCCATCCCCTCCCAAGCTCTTCTCCACACTGAAGCCAGAGCAGGTTTTCCACAATGAAGGTTTGAACAGGTTTTCCCGCTTGCTTAAACATTGTTCTCAGGACAAAGACCAAATTCCTCAGAATGACCCGTGAGCCTTCTGAGATCTCGTGCCTCTTCCCTCTCCGGTCCCTTTGTGTGCTCCGTTCCTATTTCTGAATTTTAGGTAGACTGATTGTCTCAGTTTTCTGTTGCTAGAACTCTCCAAAACCTAGTGGTATAAACAACAGTGTTTCGTTATTTTTCATGATTTTGTGTGTTGACTGGGCCTGGCTGGGCAGTTCTTCTCCATGCAGTGTCTGCTGGAGCTGGGACTTCAAGTGGCTTCTTCACATATGTATTTGTCACCTCAGCTGCGGTGGTAGGAACAGCTCTGGTGGCCAAGTATCCATGTCTCCAGTAGGGGAGCCGGGCCTCTTTATAGGGTGGCTCAGGGCTCCAAGAATGAGCATTGCAGGGGCCACATCCTGATGTGCAAGTGCATGCTTGCTTGTGTCTCATTGGCCACGGCAGATCACATGACCACCCCCAGGGTGGGAGGGGCCTGCATAGGGCCTGAGTGTAGAGCTTGGTTCCCCGGGGGCCACGCACTGTGGCTGGGTACCACACTGACCTTTCTAATCTTTCCTACTTATCACCAATCCTTTTGCTGTTGGATCATTACACATACTGTGCTCTCTACCTGAAATACGGTGGGCTTTCTCCCCTTTGTCTGGATAACTCCCTCTCTCCCTTCAGATCTCAGTTCACATGGCATTCTTAAAGGAAGTTTCCTCCCTGAGTACTTGGAACCCGTTATTTTAGGTTTTCATAGCACGTAAATAGTACTTCTTATAATTAGAATTTTAATCTGATTTGATTTTTGTCTTTCCTGCCCTGTTGATTCTAAGTTCAGGAGAGCAGGAGCCTTGTCTATCATTGCTTTCCTTTGTTTCCATAGCACCTGTCACATAGAAGACATCCAGTAACTATGGGTTAAATAAAAGATTTCCTCTTGGAGAAGTTTCCAAACTGGTCTTCCTGCCTGTAGTCTCTTTCCTTTCCAGTCTGTTTGGCATCCATCCGTTTATTATCACAAAAATAACGTATTATTTCATATCACTGTTGTTGGGAATGTTTCCAGATGACAATGTAACACTCTAATATAGCTTTTCACCGTAGCTTTCTGAAGTCTTCTACACTATGATTCCATTTAACTTTGGAGCCTCATTCCTGTTGCTTCCTTACCAAGCTGGCCTCATCACCTCTTGCTGCCTTCGCCTTAAGTTTGCCCTGCATCTTTGTTCACTTTAATCATTTTTACCTGTTCTCTTTCTTTCCTGCTCTCCTGTGTTCCTTTCTTCTCCAGGCCGATCCTTCCTATCGTAAAGGCCTGGCCTCTTCTGAAGTGAAGCGCGCCTGTGGCTCCACCGCTTTCAGCCGTCCCTGGGTGTCCACAGGGGGTTGGTTCCAAGACCCCCACAGATACCAAAATCTGTAGACGCTCAAGTCCTTTACATAGGATGGCATAATATTTGCTTATAACCTGCACATATCCCCCTGTATACTTTAAGTCATCTCTAGATTACTTATTATACACAATGCAACGTAAATGCTATCTATGTAAATAGTTGTTATACTGTATTTTTAAAATTTGTATCATTTTTTATTCTTTTTATTTTTTTCCCTTGAATATTTTTGATCCACGGTTGGTTCAATCTGCAGATTCATAACCCACCTATAAATGAGGGCTGACTGTACTTTATCTTTAGTTACTTAGTATTTATGTTACCTGCTGCCTGTGTGTGCATTGGCATTTGGCTCTAGGCAGTCTCTTTCCTTTGTTTGCTTTCCGTCCTGCATCCCTACCCAGGCTGTGGGCTGCTTCTGGGAAGAGGCTGCCTCTCATCCTGGGCCCTCGCAGAGTCCTGCACGGTGCCTTGGACATGCACGGCTCACAGTAAGCCTTGACTGAATATTTGTCTGATTGTGTTTTCAGGGTGAAGAAAACCTTAAAACAAGTATTTGTACATTTTTATCAGTTTTGTCACATTTGGACATCATTACTGAAAATATTCCGGAAAAGGTGAGTTTAAATTGTTGGTAAGAAGAGTATAAATTTGACTATCAAAAAAACCCAATTGTACGTATTTTTACCAGTTTTTTTTAGATGGACAGCATTGCTGTGTTTTCTTATAGTTTGTCTCCTTCCCTTCCACTGCTCCCCTGATGTGCACATGTGCACAGGTGCAAATGCCCAGTAAGGTTTTATTACCCACTTACACACTGAGTACATACCAAATTTATAGGCAAATTAGTGGTTAATTTTTGTTGATATAAATAATTCTTAATTTTATAAAGAATTCACTTAGGATTTTTTAAATAGGACTTCAACTTACTGCATTCTTTGACTGAATGGTAGTTATTTAACAAATAAATTTAACAAAAGAAACTTTGCACAAGCAAAAATAAGCAAAAGTCTTAGCTAATTCTGGTTAATCACTATGGCAACTGTGAATAATTTAGGAGAACCTACCAGTAAGATTTAGAGCAAGATTCTGCATTATTGCACCTACAGATAAAAAGGTACTGATAGATTGTAAACTCTAGGAAAAAACTTAATATATGAAATAAGCGTTAAGTGTTGAAAGAGACGAAAATGTAGGGGAAAAAAGTTTTCCTTTAATTTTTCAAAGTGTTCTAGTTTTTCAACAGTGGTATATTTTTCATTAACCTAATTCATCAGTTCTAGGACAGACCTTTCTCCCCACCACATACATACATACATACATACATACATTTATGTATATAAATAAATGGGGGCAATCTTTGGCATTCCTTGGCTTTCAGAATCATCTCTGCCTTCATGTTCACATGGAATTTTCTTTGTGTGTTAGTCTCTGTGTCCAAATGTTTCCTTTTTATAAGAATATCAGTCATATTGGATTAGAGCCACCTTAACATCCTTAACTTACTAATTACATCTGCAATGACTGTATCTCCAAATAAGGTCACATTCTGGGGTATTGGTGGTTAGGACTTTAACATGAATTTTAGGGTAACAAAAGTCAACCCATAAGAATATATATATAGTATGCATATATATGATATGCACATATATAGGTATATATTCTTATGGGTTCAGTATATATATTTTCACTTAATTTTCATTAAGGTGTAGTTTTGAGATTAAGGACTTTCCAAAACCTCAGACTCGCTGCCCCCAAATCTGGTTCACACCTTCAATTCCTCAAGTTATTTGGGAAATCCCTGAAGCTGTGGGATGAATCTGAGAAGTAATTTCTTTAGGTATGAAAAGGTTCACAACAGGAAAAATTATTTATCCTCCTACACCCTCTCCCTTCCTGTCCCATGATTTCAGTGTATTTGGAGAGTTTTATCTGCACATATTTCCCTTTGCATTCTCCAGAAGCCCCAGGTGGATCTGAATGAGTCATAAATAAGATCATGGTATCATGGATATCTTGTCCACGACCAGCCTCAGTTCTAAATACACCCCAAACCCTCTTGGGCAAATGAGGGCCTCTGGTTTGCTCTGATCTATGTATTTCTAAATTATATAGCAGGCTAAGAAGATCGAATATAGATTCGAGGCTCTTCTTCCCCATGGAAGCCGAAAGGTCTTGCAATAACAGGAGATTTTAGAGTCAGGCGGACTTATCTTCAAACCTTGACCTTGGTATTTATTAATTGTGTGACCTTGGACAAACTACTTAGCCTCTCTGAAATATAACTTGTTTGCCTCTAAAAGGGTTTGGTGTTATCCCCTTCACAAAGCCCTTTCAGGATAAAAGGAGGTAATATAGCAAAGGTAGGTAGTAGTTGGCCATTAGCACATACTTAGCACATATAGAATTCTCTCCTTCCACAGGGATTGTGATAACAGATCCTGAGTTAGAGGAATTTGTAAGAAACCAGTGATCATTATGTCCTAGGGCCTTGGAGGATGTACCAAAACATTGCTACTTAAATGAGATATAGCCTGAATCCATAACAAGGTCAATATAGTATTTCATATGTTGCAGCTCAGATGATTTGCATCTAGAAAATTAGAAAGAAAAGGTTTTTTCCTCTTGCATTTGCTTCCTACTTTCTCCTCACACTTATCTCTTCAGTTTGGTTTTCTAATCTAGTTCAACAATCTTCTCTCATTACCTTTTCTCACATGCTTCCAAGTAAGAAAATTACCTACCTGATATACTTATTGGTGGATTTTGCTTTCATTTCTATTTCTATTTCTACTTCTATTTCTATCTATCTATCTATCTATCTATCTATCTATCTATCTATCTATCTATCTATCTATCATTTAGGGGTGAGATCTGAGAGATACAAAACTCATCCCTACCCACAAAATTTTCTTTTAATCAGTGGCTAGGGTCATTAAAATTGCCAATATTCAAAAATATGCACTAAGTTTAAAAGCTTTTACAATACGGAACAGATTTTGTATTAGCTCACTGTTTTCTTGACATTCTAGCACCTGCTGACATAGTAGACCACTCCTTTCTTGAAATATCTCCTGAGACATCACATTTTCCTGCTTTCTCTGGTTCATATCATATGAACCTCTTAGTTCCCTTCTCTCTTCTTGATCTCTAAATATTGGGATGGCCAGGACTCACTACTGACCCCCTCTTTTCTTATCTATTCTTTCTCTCTAAGCAATCTCATCTCATCCAATCTCATTTTTTTATGTTATACATTATATTTTTATTTCAGCATATTATAGGGGTACAAATGTTTAGGTTACATATATTGCCTTTGCTCCACCTGAGTCGGAGCTTCAAGCACGTCCATCCCCCAGATGATGCCATCTTATTTAGCCCTGGCCTCTTCTCATACTTTTAGATTCAAAAATCCAGATGCCTACCTGAGTTTTCTACTTTGATGTCTACAAGATGTCATCTTGCCATGTGAGATAATTAAAAATCTTGATTATTTAAACCTTTGGTGATCAGTTTTTTCAATTACACACAGCAAAATGCATGCTAACTCACAGGGTATTACCTACAGTGTCATATAAGAAGAAAACCCTGAGGCCATGAGGCTTAGGGGAGGAGAAACCTTGGCTAGTGAGAGGGCAAACTGGTGGCACTGGGGAAAGGATGCTAATGACAAACAACATGCAGTTTAGAATATATACTCGCAGAGGTATGTATGTGCTTTTATATCCATTAACTCAGTAAAGTCTTGTTATCCCTTATCCTTTCCTTAGTGCAGCATCCAGTATACCCAACCAAGTATTTCCAATATTGTTCTCACATAGACAGAATGTCATGCAAGGCGATATGACATGGCTGGTAGCGCGTAGATCTAGCTGTTAGGAGAATGAGGAAATCATTGAGTACATCTGAATCTAAGTTTCCACATCTGTAAAATGAAGTTGTTAAATTAAATACACTATTTATTTTTTAAGATGAGAGGCAACATACATGCTTACATATTAAAAGTTTTATTGAATATTGTGGAAAACAGGAGCCTTGAGGTACTCTCATGGATGTAATAAAATATTAACCAGTATAATTTAGAAGCAATTCAAGGTTCTAAAGTGCCTTCAGAATAAACAAAAAAAGATGAACCTACACTGATTGCATTATTTGTGTTGCCCATATCCTTATATTCATGTGAATTTGTGATCCACATGATAGTCATACTAATTTTCAGTTGACCAAAATAATTGTCCTATTTCAGAACAGCACATAATGCAGTTTATACAAGTAGTATGAGATTAGGCTTTTATGTAGCCATCCTTTGATTTGTTTAGTGCTCTCTAAAAGTCCAGTTTCCAGATTTGTGGATCACCTAATTGGTGACTATTTTCATTCTTCTGATCTTGAACTGTTTTGTAGTTTGAGGGACTGTTTAGACACAGATGTAGTTTCATTTCATAGAATATGCTGCAGTGCAAAGAATACATCTAACTCATTTTCCTCAAAATCAGTCTGCTTTTCTTCTTTTCTCACGTTCTGACATATTACTTCCTGAAAAGTCAAATTACTTATTTCCCGAAAAAACAGAGCTCAAAAAGGGTAGAGCATACACTGCCTGTTCAAACTTTTATAATCTACAGCAGCAAATATTCAAGCAGATGCGAAAGAGAAGAGATGCTTATTTTCGGATGCTCATAGTGTCTGCTCTCCCAGAAGACAGAGCTGAATGCTTTCCTTCTGATAACCCCCCAAAACATGTTTCTTTTATGCTATTCTTGCTAAAAATAACCCATAATGCTGTTTGCTCCCATGTTCTCTCCTCAGCAAGCTTTCCTCTTATAGACAGAAGTATGGAGGCAAGGCATTACCCAATGGTCATTGTTTGAGTGAACTACTTCTTGGAGATAAAGTCACCAATATATTTTTAACTGATTT